CTTTTCGATGAGTAATTTGATCGAGTTGATTAACTAAAATAAAATATAAATCAGACATGACAATCAATTCAATTTTGACTAAATATAAAGATTTTTGAACATTAATGTACATATACTAGGAGAGTTTTAGAGCTTGTCCGACACATTTTTTTAATGAAAAATGATTTTCTTAGAATATGTGGTAGAAAAGTGCAAAAAAGTTCTGAATCCTACAAAATGTATGACTGGAAAATAATTTAAAAAATGATTTCAGAAAATCTGCGCCAAACAAATTTTACAGCTTGTCCGGCATATTTTTGTTTTTGGTGAAAAATGATTTTCTTAGAATACGTGGTTGAAAAGTGCAGAATAGTTATGAATCCTATAAAATGTACGACTAATATAATTTTATAAAAAAATGATTTCCGAAATTCTGTGCCAAACAAAGACTTAGTATGGTGAGAAAGAATTCAAAGTCCTATGGGCAAGAGTTCAAAGTCGAGCAAAACTACCATAGATAAATAGTATGGTGAGAAAGAAATAGATGCTTCTCAAAAATTGTACGCTGGTAAAATGACATTCATACATGAAACTACATTCTGTACTCACTCTTTGCCACTCACATCCATCTTCCTAGTCTGAGAATGGAACATGTCAACTATATCTGCAGATGTGCTACATTCCTCGGGGATTCTATCCAAGACAGAGCGAATAAATCTCGGAAATCTGATTGAGATACCACGAGATGGATGGATTAAACCAATGGCAGCATGATGAACCGGTGACACTGTGAGGTCAGCACCCTTTATCTCCCAGACAAGTTGAGGAGAAAACCACATATCAGGCACCTCAGCAGTTCGATAATATGGTGGTTTTTTAGAAAGGATTTTGTCCCCGGAGAAGAACTCCTTCATCTGCAAATATATAAATTAGAAAAGTAACAATGTTTACAAAATAACTGGGTTCGATAAAAAGAATACACCTACAAGCTTCTCGAAACTTAAGAGCACGTGTTAAGAAATGCCACTCCCATGAACAATATAACTTTACAAACGAAAAAATAGCTCTAGATTACCTGTGTGTAGAAAGCATCGGTAAATCCAGACATGACACGGCAGACACTCTGGAATTCTTCAGTATCAGGATTATAGCAGGCCATTAGGAATGGACTATACCTAAAAACATGAAAATTTGTCCCTTTATCATATTATCGAAAACCAGAAATTGCAAGTGTTTTTATTCTCCAAAAACCAGAATAGGAAAGCATCATCAGTGAAACTTCCACTACCAAAACAAATGTATGCTTTTTGGTGCATCGGCAATTGATAATAAAATACTTAATCTAGAGAATAGCAATTGAACACGTTTTTGTGATTATCCATCATATAGTAAATTATCCCAGCATTGAATGTTTAGCCTCATATGTTATACTTGAATATAAAAAATGCAGTATAATTTGGTTTGTCTTCACTCTTACATTTTTTAACAGTTGACTTCAAATATAACAGAGGAGAAGAATAAGAGATCTTAATATTTACCATCCTGCTTTTCTTCCATTTCCATGCCAAGCACCAATAGGGACCAAGTCCAAGGAATCACTCAATCCTTCAATGTAATCTTTCTTGACCTACAAAAATGGATTATTTATTTATATAATAAAGCTTCTTTGTTTCTTAGTTTAGGAATATTTTAGGTCTTCTGCACATGATACCTTCAACCACGTATCTGAACGCTTTGACGGAGTATAACCAGCATTTACATCAAGAGTTTTAACCATTATGCCTTCACAGGAGGAACGAAGTGCATCATCAAGAAAGTTGTTCATCTTATTCAATGTGGCTTCGTTGTTTGCATCAGAATCTTCTGCTTCCACCTAAAAGTGCTGGGTGACTTCATAATGACAGTAAAAAACATGTTTGAACTAACAAAAGCAGACAAAACATGTTTGAACTAACAAAAGCAGACAAAACATGTTTGAACTAACAAAAGCAGACACTTACTGTCATTTCTCTTGCATATTCTAAATAGCCTGGTTTCCCGTCACCAAACAAGTTCTTCAAATCTGATATTGTTCTTCTGCTTCCACCTAAAAGTGCTGGGTGACTTCATAATGACAGTAAAAAACATGTTTGAACTAACAAAAGCAGACAAAACATGGTTGAACTAACAAAAGCAGACAAAACATGTTTGAACTAACAAAAGCAGACACTTACTGTCATTTCTCTTGCATATTCTAAATAGCCTGGTTTCCCGTCACCAAACAAGTTCTTCAAATCTGATATTGTGGAGCAAGATTCAAGATAAGAGTAAAGAATGGGTTTCATCATATCAAAGCTAAGTAAAACAGTCAAGACATCTGAATGCATAGACCAGTGAATACATTTTCGTCTTTGACGGAGGGGTAAATCCAGCAGCCTGCAAAAGAGAATTCCATGTGGCATAAGAAAAACTGACTATTGCACATGTTACGTGGTGCCAACTAGAGACTCCAGAGACAGGAAAAAAAATGGAAGTCAAGGCAAAAGGCAATACAAATATACAATTGACAATATTTTATTAACTAGGCATGATCATAACTTAATTTCTTCTCCAACAATTACAATGTATGCATCTGCAGGTGAAGTGTTTTATGACGTGAACCTCAAATTGAGCAAGGAAAAATATGAATATATAAAGAATTGATTTAAAGTACTTGTCTCCATTTGCCAACATGATGTCGAAGATAAAGAGGCATATGTCGACCTGCAAAGATTAAAGGTATCAAAATTTAATTACAGAAAGGAACTCACAGTATCGAAATTCAAAAACTAACTACAAAATTAAAACGGATAGCGGATATCACTCCATCTATGAAACAAAGAGCACATTAATTGGTTATCTCTTAAAACACGTTTCATCCTTAGGTAGCTAATTTTGTATATTTAATCATGAATAACGATTTTGAAACATTTAGCATTAATCCAACACTACATTGATCCATGGACTGACTCTCAATTTGGATAATCTTCAACTTCTTAATTGTTCAATTTATCTTCTCGTGCAACAACTGTTTTAAACTTAAGATAATGCATAAGACTATCAATGATAGACTCGTTTAATCAGTCAACAGAAAAATTCTTTTGAAACTCTACACTCCAGAAAATTTCTCTATTACAAGTAAGACGTCTTGAAATTTGGAAGGGCAAAGAAATCTCACCCCAGATTCCCACAAAAGAAAATCATTCTTCTCACTTATAAAATTGTGAAAAGATCAAACTATATACAACATACATCAGAAAGATTTTCTTTATCAAGGAAAGTTTGTGTGAACCATGAATAAACAACCATGCAAGCCCAAAAAATTCAAAAACTCCCTCCTCAGAGGAAGTCAGACTGCAGATCATCTAGAATATATCAGTAAATATCAATCAAAAGGGCAAAAACAGCTATGAGTTATCAAATATAAACACTTGAAACAGATTGATATTAATACAATCATATAGCACAAATATATAGAGAGAATCCAGACAGTGGCTTTGCTCTAAGCAGCAATTTTTTCATTTTTATTTTTATATATTTTTTCATTTCTATTTCATTTAAAGGAAACATATTTATATAACCTTTATTTTGTCTACAGCAATCAGGGAATCCTTACTCCCTCTCTCCCTGGAAGACAGTTCTTGGAATGACATGAGCTTCAAGCCATTCTTCCTATCAATTGCAACTATCTGAAATTGGAGAACATGATGTTTAGTAAAACAAATGATTCCTTCACCTATGTATCTAAATGACTTAACATCTGAACCCACAGATGAAAGACAGATGAAAATCCTTCAGGTGAATTCTTTAAATGAAAAGTTAAAAATAAGGAAACAGAAGAGAAGAATGAATTAAAGAATTACCTCTGCATCTAGTACAAATGTTACTACTCCAGGACATGTCTCCTTAATTATGTTTATTATATCAGGGAATTTTGACGTGGTTTCATCACCATTCCTCGAGAAAACATGTATCAAACCATCAGGTAATCTGTGAATTTGAGCTCGCTGGCCATCATATCTGAGAAGACATGGAGAAAACAAATATGATTTTGTAGTGCTAAATGGAAGTTTACATGATAGTGATATTTTGTGGACGGGTGAATGACGGCACCGAAAAGCTGATACAGGTTATTTATTTGATAATGTTTCTTAGACAGCAAAAGGATGTAATCCAATCGCGGATCAAATTATACAAATTTGTTAAGATTTAAAGTGAATGAAATCAAACAAGTGTTCTGATCATAGAAAGCCATGCTAGCATGAACTCTTCAAGGAGAAGTATGGGCTCTTATATATTTGACAAAACAACAAAGGAAAATTTCGAGGACTGAAAAGCATCTAAAATGCATGAAGATTGAGATTCCTGGGATACCTAACAAACCAAACATAAAACAGAACATGTGAGAAAATGTACATACAAACATTACCATTTTCAACCTCGCTCAAACCAATACTGGTGCATCAAGTACATCAAGATCGATCCAATATTTTATTTATTTATTTATTATTATTTTTTTAAAGAAAGTGCCCAAATCAACGAATCATCATATCAATTTATGGAGCTTCGGATTTGATAGAACAGAGACAGCAAAGGCTTCAAAAGAAAATATTGGGATACATTGTGCAAAGAGAGTTTTTAACCCTGGTCTGAAACTATGTAAAATCAAATTACACTATCAATAAATTAGGGATTCAAAATAAAACTTTGCATTCCCTTCCAAGCCCCAACTCCTTGGGTAGATACATGTAGAAAGAAAATCTGCAGGAGTATAGAGGAGGACTGTGAGAGGGGTACGAGAATGCTAAATCACCAAGTAAAGAAAGCAAACTTAGATATCCACCCAACAAGCATAGAATTCTATGGTCTCTCTGCTGCAAACATACACATCATGGCGAAAAATGCGTTATCCAAAAGTTTTTTGTTTCTGACACATGAATCCTTTCATTCCACTCTTCTTGATCAAGTGTAACTCAAAAGTAAGTACAAAGGACCAAATTCTTTGAGTTCAAAATTTCCGTGATTCTAGGTCTACCTCTTTCTCTAGATTTGCTGTAAATACTGTCAACTTATCTTCAAGGTATCTTCAAGGGTCACCGCATTAACCAACTCATGGATATACATGGTCACATACGAGTATACGACAATGTTATCTTATGAAAGTCAAACAACTAGAGTAAAATTGTCGCAAAAAATACAAAGGTGTTAATAACACTGAATTTTTTCTCCAAATTGTTACAAGTAAGATAGTTCACAGAAAAACCTACTTTTGTCATGACAATAATTTCTAAAAACTAGAACCATTTAATCCATTCCACGACCAGCAAGAGCTATGACCCTGCAGTCCTGTATCTTCTTATCTCTTTCCTAGACATGTCGCCAGCCAAGTGGCAACCTCAATGCGGGAACATCTTACCGCCCCTACTTATTTATTGGTCTCAAGCCACTTGGTATGGGGACAAAGGGTCCCCTTTACTTTGTCCAGATTTGGATTCGGATTCGGATTCGGATTAGAAAGAAAGGAAAGAGGAGACCCTCAATCAATGCTTTAAATTGTTCATTTGAAAAAATGGAAACCATTCTTGGAAAGCAGTTGCAGTAAGAGTAGCCCCCGGAGCGCTAACTCGAAAAAACTGTGGAATTCCATATGTTTCATTCTAAAGGTTACAACAACAAATATTTAGGAAAGAAAACCTCACAACTTCCTAAACCTCACAACTTCCTAAATTTATTCTCTAATTATGCCCTAATATCACTCCTCTAATTATGCTCTAACATCTCTCCTCTAATTATCCCTAAAATGTCTCCTCTAATTATGCCAATCAGGTCAAATATACAATATATAAATGGACTTTACTATTTGTACATTTGGGGTTGACACCCCGGATGACACTCCCCTCAGAAGAGGGGGGTCCGCAATTATTTTATTACGTGTGGACCCCCCTTTCTTGTGAGGGGAGTGTCTTCTGGAGTGTGAACCCCGAATGTACAAATAGCTTTATTGTATATGAATACAATAAATTACAACTATTCCGACAAAAACATAAACTTAGAACAAATCTTGAAATTAAGACCAAATATGAACAGAAAGAGAAAATATGCAAAAAGATGAAAAATTCAATCAAACTTACTTGTATTCACATGTAAATGCCTTGTTTTGGAAGAGCTTCAATACTTGAGAGGCTCCATTAGTAATTCTACCACAAGGAACACACAATTATAATAAGAAATGCTCTAGTAATAATCTTTCTTAAAATCATTGGTTAAAAAAATAAAAAAATAAATCAAAATAAAAAATAAATCAAAATACATAGATACTTTGCAAGCATCGGTTTGATCGGTATGCCTGGAACCATTGACAAGGTTGATGAAGAGAACTTAACCCCCATTTTCATTAGGCAAGGGATAAGTAAATCCTGACCACAAGAAGTCAATGCAATAAGTGACAATAGCAATCAAAGAATCGTGATAGAAACAAAATCACCATTGTCAATGAAGTAGAAGATTGGAAATTAAGAAAATGAATGCTGACAATATCAATATTTTGTAATCATTGACTGTATCAAAGAATAATTAACTTGGTAGTTAAAATATATACACACAAATATACAAAAAGAAGCCAGACAAGTCCAGCTAGCAATGTCAATATGTATGCGTATAAAAAAAATCATGACTCAAGATAGAAGCATTCAAGAATTCCACTCATTCTTTTCTCAAATGATATACTCCAATTCATCATAAAGAATTCCACAGGCATGATATCTACTTACTTGCATTTGGAAGAAACCTTGACAAATACATTTTAAGAGTAATGGATCAAATCCATCACCCTGACTATAGCTGAATGTTTATAATTTCATTTGTTTACAAGAATTTTTTTTTTTATTTTTTTATTTTAATAAGTAATCAAGTAATTTTATTAATCAATAGATAATATATCGGAGGTGTATTATCAAGTTAAACAAGAAAGAAACGACATAAAATTTGGCAACCCTTCTATGTAATTAGTGGCCGCAGCATCAAACCAAGTATACAAAATCATATAAAACAATTCTTTAATCTGTTCTGTTGTTCTTGTTTAGTCTTCTAAACAGCGGTTGTTTCTTTTTCTCCATACACACCATAAAATGCATCCCAAAATAAGATTCCATGCGAGCCTACTATTCTTATCTCGAAATTTTCTCCTCCATGTCTGCAACACGTCTTCTATGCGCCTAGGCAACGCCCAATCCAAATTTGGGAAGCTAGAATATCGTTCCACAACCATCGAACATCGTCACAATGAAAGAACAAATGGTCAATCGTTTCCCCATCTCTCTTACACATATAACACCATTCGGTGACATAAAAACCTTTTCTTCGAAGATTATCGACCGTTAAAGTCTGTCCCTTCACAACTGTCCACAACAAGAAAGCCACCCGTGGAGGTTGTTTACATTACTACACCACCTACTCCGATTACCCTCTCCTACTTGAATATGTGCCTCGTGCAAGGAGGTTAAAAACAATGCATAATCATCCAATTCTCAATCTTGCAAACCCCTCTCAAAGGCAATATTCCGCTGTAACTTCCATTCTGTACGGCTAGTACATCATTCACCATAGCGGAAGGCTCCAAAGCAATGCGATACAAAGAAGGAAAACCGTGCCTTCAGCAAATAATCTCCACACCAACAATCATCCCAAAATCTCATACTATTGCCATTCCCTACCACATACGTCAATTTATCTCGAAAGTCATTCCATCCTTGTCGGATATACTTCCACAAACTCACCCCATAAGATTCACGATCATTAATCAAGCACCAACCTCTTCCATCACACCATACTTCTATGATTTGTCTCCAAAAAACTTTCCCTCTGCACTCCAAATCGCCACAACCACTTGCCCAATAAAGTCTTATTAAATAAAACAAAGCTCCTCAATCCAAAGACCTTCGTCTTTACAGGAGAACAAACCACACCCTAATTAACCAAATGGAATTTCCTCTCTTCCCCTAGCCCTGCCTAGACAAACCCCCTTTGAATCCTCTCTAATCTGTTTACCACTATAACAGGAATAGGAAACGGTGACAAGAAATAAGTTAGGAGATTAGACAATGTAGATTTAATGAGAGTAAGGCGGCCTCCCTTTGAAAGGTACATATGCTTCCACCCCGCTAACCTCTTATCCACCATTTCGACAATTCTATTCCAAATATGTTTACTTTTAAACCTTGCCCCTAAAGGGAGCCCAAGGTATGACATGGGCAACTGCGCAACCTTACAACCCATTATATCGGCCAACTCATCCACGTTGGCAACCTTTCCCACTGGAATGGCCTCGAATTTCCTTAAATTAATCTTCAATCCTAATATCGCTTCAAAGCATAGAAGTAGCCGTTGCAAGTTCCTGAATTGCTCATTATCTACATTGCAAAGGATTAGTGTATCATCTACAAATAGCAAATGGAAAACCTGTAAGTGTCAAACCGTGAAGTCCCTTATCAATCTTTCTTCCACAGCTTTCTCAAGCATCCTACTAATTGCTCCATAACAATCACAAACAGCAACGGAGACAAGGGATCCCCTTGCCTCAAACCTCTACCGCTTTGAAAATAACCCTCCGAGTTGCCGTTGACCAAAACTGAGAATGAAACGGTAGAGATACAAAATTGAATCCACTTATACCACTTTTCCCCAAAGCCACATCACCCGAGCATGTACAAAAGGAACCCCTAGTTCACGTGATCATAAGCTTTCTAAATATCAAGTTTACATAACATTCCTGGCACCCCCAAACGCAATCTAGAGTCGATGCATTCATTCTCTATAAGCACAGAATCCAGAATCTGTCTTCCTTTCACAAAAGTATTCTAACTCTTAGTTACCAATTTCCCCAACACCTCATTCAATCTATTCGTCAGGATCTTCGCGATAATCTTATATACCCCACTAACTAAGTTAATAGGGCGAAGATCCTTAATGTCAACTACTCCCAGTTTCTTTAGAATCAGCACAATAAATGTAGCATTAGAACTTCTCAGGAACCTGTTGTACTCAAAAAAATAAGTAAGAACATTTATAATGTCCAATCCCACCACCTCCCAACAAGCCTTATAAAATGCAAACGAGAAGCCATCTGGTCTGGTGCTTTATCATCATTCATACTGAAAACTACATCCTTGATTTCATTTTCTACAAATGGTCTCTCTAACCAACTACCATCCTCCTTCGTGATAGTAGAAAAGTCCAGTCCATCCACCTTTGGTCTCCAGTCAAATTGTTCCCAGTATAGATTTTGATAGAATCTCACCATCTGATTTCCAATATCCTGTGAATCCTCATAAGTAATCCCATCAATCTCCACGAAGGTGATAGAGTTGTTGCGCCTGTTCGAATTAGCGACTCAATGGAAAATTTTGGTTCATTCGTCCCCCTCTTTCAATCATGTAACCCTAGATTTCTGGCGCCAGACAATTTCCTACATCTCCACCAGTTTCTCCAACTCTCCCCTTAAAACTCCACGTCTCTCCCTCTCCTCTCCTCTCCTCTCCATCCAATTCTCGACCCTCTTCTCACCTATCCAATTCTTCTATTTCTAGAATACATTGATACCCACCACCTCCTCATTCCACCTCTTTAGATCCCTCTTCAAAGCTTTTAATTTCTGATCCAACACATAATTGGGAGACTCCCCGAATTCATAAGATGCCCACCAATCCCATACTCGCTCCCTAAAGCCATCTACTTTAAGTCACATCTTCTCAAATCTAAGAGCTGATTACTACGACAAGTCGATGACCACATGCTACATCAAGAATATTCTTTAGTTTAATTCTCGGTGCATTTGATTGAAAGAATGGGATATTCCGTCACTTCATACACAACCTGTGCTTTTAGAACTTGAGCTATTAATTTTTTTTAAAGTTAATTATTTTGTTTTCCTACCGATTTTATTATAATAGGTTTTTTCTTTAATCATACTAGGAAGAGTTCTATTTTGTATTTATTTAGGCTTGGGAACTCTTTTTTTTTTTTTTTTTTTGGGGGGGGGGGGGGAGTGGGGGTTTGGATTCCCCAACGCTCTATTAATATGAAAATATGTTACAAGAGGGAGGGGGGGACATTATAAGCCTTACATCCAGAACTTACATCATGTGGGAGGAAAATACTTGTCCATACAATTCTACATCAGTTTTATCATCCAGTATGTTCTGAAAGTTCAGTTAAGGCTAGCACATCAATATTAGCACAAGCCAGCCTCTGGTTGGTGTTGTCTACATAGTTCTTACTGGCAGCAACACTTCTCCCTACCATTAAAAACTGACCAGATTCTGAAGTCTGGAGGTTCTTAGTTGTTTCAAAATAAAAAAGTTCTAAACAAGACTCCAAATAATCAGTGTCTGCTCCCAATCCCCAGCGCAGCAGCAGAACCAAATAAAAGAGAGAAGGAAAAAAGTCCAAAGCAGCGTGCAGATTCAAAAACCATATGAGAAATCAGAAAGCAAAAGAGTCCAAAAATAACACTGAAACCAAGAGTATAAAAGATGCAAATCATTTTCCCCAATTACTCCATCTCTCCCGCTCACAGAGAATAATAGACAGGGAGAGAACCCTAACAGTGGAGAAAAGAAAAATATGATAAACTTATTAATACGTATGCGTGTATATAATTGTCAAGCCCCACAAACTGTGATAGATTTTAAAAGTTTCTTATGTTTCATGGGTTCCTAATACATTACATGCAACTGAGTATTTATTTATCTTAGAGTGAAAAAAAAATGGATTAAGATTTTGAAATTTAACAAGAACATATAGAGTTGAAGACGAAAACTTACCAAGTTCGGAAGTACATTATATGCTTCAACTACTGCTCCAGATAGGCGCTAACAAAAATAAAGAGAAAAATGAAAGACTTAGCAAGGAGAAGTACTGTACCATCAACAAAAGGAAAGCACATTAAGGTAGTATACTTCAGTTCAATGCATAAAGGATAAGTACGCCATCATCTTTTCAAGTAAGTAGAAGTTCATCAATAAAAGGAAGCAGGATGCTGAACTAAAAGAACAATTAGAAAATAGTAAATATGTACTGTAGTATCACATGATACAACCAACCCAAAAGAAAAACAAACCTGAAGATGATCCTTCAAACACCCAGTTTCTGTATCAGCAGAATTGAACACGATAGCCTGAGCCAATGCAGGAAGTACAGTTCTCATCATAGCTCCAATTCTTAAATTTCTAACCTGCAAGAAAGAAGATACATAAAAACTCATGACTCTTTATCAAAAAAATAAAGGATCAAGTCTATCTACTCAGAGTCCTTTATCATATACAATTACATCATGACATGTTTTGACAATAACAGCATAAAATAATCATTAATATGAACAAACACTTCAAATATGTCAATCAGGGTGTTGCAACTTTGACCAGATGATACAAAACGACTTCTCATCTTTCTATTCTTCACCCTTCCTTCCACTGCTTTTACTCCCTGATCTTTTCTACATTTCCTTGCTTCATTATATTCCGATTCTCAGCTTTCTTGACATCTCTACTAAATAGATTTGTACCAAAAGTATAATGCCCCCAGATTCTTAATTAGGAATCAAATGCAAAATCCAGGGACCAAACCATGAACTAGCCCTGGTTGAGGGACTTAACTGCAATTTTCAAAAGTTTCAGATTCCGGTCCATGAACACTAACCAGGGGATACATTTTTTTATTTTTATTTCTTTGGCGGGGGTTGGGGGTGGGGGTGGGCAGGAAGTAAGTATGTATGTTATTAAAAGGGTTTAAAGGAAAAATTAGGAATATATATTTGCCTTATATTTAGAAAGTGAGTAAGAAAATTAAGGGAGATGGGGGATTTTAGTCAATCAAATATGTGAATGATACAATCTATGATGCTCGAACTCTTTGAAATGGACGAGGTCCCTGTATCGACGTGACATGACATGAGTGTGGGTATAAGATATGTGTCAGATCCTCGAAACTTCAACCGGATACTTCGCCTTTTCTGCTTCTTTTTCTTCTTTCTTCTTTCCTGTATCTGCTCTTTGTAAATCCAACACCACCGCCGAGAGGGTAGAGAAAGGAGATGGCGCTACATTTACCCTTCTTTTTCTTCCTTCTTTTTTCTTTCCCATTTTCTTCTTTTTTTCCTTCTTTCCCTCTCTGTAAATGATTTAGGATTTTCTTTATATATAATGAAAATTAGTTCCATATAGTACTACTTAGTGTTCCACTAAATTCAAATTACAATCAAGTCCCTTATTTCTATTGTATATAACATTTAGTAATTAACCTCCCATAATTAAAAACTAAACCCCAAAATTTTATTTTATTCGTTTTAATCCATTATTCACTGCTCATTTTCTTCTTTGTGATCAATTGATTTTGGTTTATTTAAAATGACATCTTGAGTTAGTAAAAAAAAAATGAAGTTTAAAAGAAGTACCCATATACCCGTATTAAAATTTGGACTTTTTAGCCATGTCCCGTATTTTAGAAAGTAAAATATTCGACACTTTGATATGTATTTGTAACCGAGTTCAAGCATCATAAGATACAATTATATGCTAAAATATATAAATGATTATATACTAGTATATAAGTATATAATCACATATTCTATAAAATGAATAATGGAATGCATTCATAAATCATTGATTTTAGTTTATTTTTATATATCAAACATTCTTAACCTGTAATACAGTCACTACTCAAGCACATCCACCACGCTACACACCTCTCTCCTCTTTCACATACGCATACACACTAAAGAACTTTTGGTATAATAAATAAAAGGAAAGTTTGGGTTATTTCAAGGAATTTTCATGCAGCTTCTCAGTTTCAAGCAAGGTATGCTATGAATTTTGGCTACAGTGTCATTATTTTGGGGATAAAATTTATAGGTCCTACATGAATAAGTTTGAAATAAGAGAACCAAATTTTAGTAGTGCTACGCACAAGAAATTCTACCACCTAAGTTAGGTATTTTCTTACATCTCCTTAGTCCTTAGGTATGATATGATTCATTTCTGAAATTTTAACACGATTTAGAAATTTAAGGTGCAAGTTTATTGATTATTATCTCATCCACTCCTTTTCCCCTTGTAGGAAACTAGCGGTTAGAGGTGGTCAAGCAAGGAGATGACTTAAGAGTGAGATTTATTAAATATGTTTGAGGAATAATTTTTTCAATTATGGTTTGAAGCGATTTTTTCTTTGGACATTATCTTATCTTTTAGATGAAACTATTGAACCTATGACTTTGTTTTGAAAAGATTGGCTTATTATTACCAACATTATTTAATCTTAGTTTTTTTATTGAGTCGATGATTCTATATAAATTTTCTTTATGTTGGCTTTGATTGCCGACTCCCGTATCATAAGGTCACCAACTTCCTAGACCTTTCGGCACTGGACAAGCATTAGTCCCCATACATGGTCTTACGATTTGCAAAGACCTATGTTTTTGGTAAGTAGTCGCACGGGTCTGGTTACTAAAAGATACGTTTATTGTTATGAAATTATTTAATCATTAGTTTTTTTATCGAGTTGTTGATTATATATAAATTTTCTTCATGTTACTTTGAACTGTTAAGTTTCATAATTGTAACAACCTAGAGCTCGCGTTTGAGCATTAACTCATATGTACTGTCCACTTTAAAAAAGCATGTAATCATAGTTCTCACTGATTTTTGTCGCATTCCAAGAATTCGAGCTCTCGATCTTTTGAGAGAATTATGTTGAATCTTGGTATCAATTCATTTTCATGTTTCTCCTACCTATAATCTTTCTCTGATTCTATCTTTTTAATCACATCTTGTATTGCATTCCTGTTAAAAAGGCAAGGAGTAAAAGAAGTAGACAACTAGGACAAACTTAGAGCCAATCTTACAATGCAAGAACTTCAGCCACCACCAAGGACAAATCCTATATCTTCCCTAAAAGTCTAACTAATACAATAATAAAAGCTATATGTTTCCAGTTACTCTCACAGGAAAACCAAAATGAGCTCACCCATCCTTATTCAGAAATATTGCTTCATATTCGCATTTTTTATTCAGAAGACTTTCTTTAAAGAAAATGAGATTAATAACCAAAATGTTCAATTGATCGTACCAAAGTTCTGACTATGAATTTCATTTCCTTCTCTCGACATGAACGCATGAGATTCATAATGAGACTTTTCTTCCGGATTGTACTGCCGCTACCTGTTTGCACACTGAAATTCAATGTAAACAAGAAAATTTTATGAAGAATAACATAAATCTGTAAGTTACTAAAATATATAGAGATTGATTGGAAAAAAAATTCTCCGACAGATATTATTGTTATATAGGTGCTTTGTTTCGTCTTTATTCATTTGAATCAGCATATGAAACGTAAATTTGGCTGAGTAGCACGTCTTAACAGACCTTTCGAATCTAGATGGAGTTCTAGAAAATATTTGCCACCAATCTTTGCTAGAATCCCTATCAACTTCTATGGGAGAGTAATTTTTTAAAACATACCTCCTTATTGAATAATTTTTTAAACACATTCTATTCTGTTTACACAATTTTTTGAGCAATTGACGGTTACATCAGAGATGCTTTCATCGCAATTGGTTGGTAGGAATTTCTCCTTTTTCCTATTTTCCTATTTTATTTTATTTATTTAGCTAATGGAAGGGCACTTGAGTCTTTACATAAAAATATGATTTTTTAACGGTCAATTGAATGAAAATCATCCAAAATGACCAATTGTCCACATTAAATAAAATGTTATTTGCGCCATAATTTGAAGGTTTTAGACCATTTGTGCCAATTTCCCTGTAAATAATACTAACTTCACATACATACAACATACGGCTCGATTTGGAAAAAAAGAAGACCTTTTAAGTGAAAAAAGCAAGAATTAATTGAGAACATGGTAACTATCAACGTTAATTTATCCAGAAGACTAGCAAACAAATAGATGCATAGCCTCAGCAAAACATCAATCAACAAACTACCCTGAGATGGGTGATGGAATAATACATTCAGGAGCAAAATTATCTACTATTGTAATAAGACTACACAAGAACTATCAAAGTTCAGCCAGTCACAGGGGTAAGGTAGAATGCAATTATCATAAACTGAATTCTAGAAGTATCATAACATGCTCCAAGTGAAACCTAGTCCGCATATTGGGTTTGGGAAATAAATATGCTTTAACACATTGCCTAAGATTTCTTTATGAAATATAATTCAAATATTAAACAAGTTCATCGTATATTAAGGGCAAGAATTGGGCAATGCATACCTTATCTTTTGGAGAACTGAATACACTCCTTGAATTGTAAGAACTGGTGGGGGGGCAAGTAGTGATTGTGTTTGCCGGCAAAGTTGAGCAACATCACCTAATTCATCATGCATCATCAGCACAAAGATATATTGATATCGATGAATATAAAATAATATAAGAGAATGTTACAATTCATGGACAAAATTACAGGCATACCAAGATCGCCAAGGCTGTTATAAAGATTGCTTATTTTAGACCTGTTTGTCCCACATGCCTCTTCCAGGGCTGCAACTACAATACTTGCACCAATATTCAGTTCCTGAATCACCATTACAATATAGTCAATAGAACCATTGAAGTGTTCGTGGAAGAAACACTAAGCAAGAATTGTGATGGAGTGCAAACACCCCATTAAAGTGTTCGAGGAAGTAACACTAAGCAAGAATTGTAATGAAGTGCAAAAGCCGTAGGAATCCATTTACATCTTATGGCAACAGCCTAGAGGTAGAGCTAGCAAGTGAACCGTTGAAATCATATTCGCATTCCTCAATTTTGAAAATTTACTATCTTTTTCTTAGCTTAAATAACCTTATTAAGCAATATGCCTTCTCGAGTATAAACTCCCAAAATACAAGGATTTGGTCCTCAATGAAATATCCAAAACAAGCTTGAATTTTAATTACAGGGTAACAGGTTTTAACAATAATGCAGACATTAGTCCCTGCATAGTGCATGTACCTGGATTCACACCACTATAATAATCCTCCAGTAGCAACATTGACAATCAGGATGAACTTTCTGAACTATCCTAAAGAAACATATTAATCGTGATGATTTATCACATATCCATCAAAACCTACGAAATAACAGTTACACAGGTCTCTTTATAGATCATTAACAGAAGCAAGACATCCCAATCAAAACTTTAAAATCAGAAGCAATTTGACCTCAAGTTTAGATATCAACTTATAACTTATAAGCAACCAATGATGAACATAAGCCAATTTTATAAAAACAAAAGTCTGATGCATTCATTTCATAGACTAAAGAACTAAATGTGGAAAAATAAACTAGTTCCAAGTCCAAAATCAAATAAAAAGAATGACTAAGTAAACACAAAAATAAGATCAAAATTCCAGGTGAAAAATAAATGTGAACAAGCCATATATTTGGGTTATTATCATTATTAGCAAAAGGAAACAAACTGAAACAGAAAGTACATGAATGACTGAAAATATATAATTTAAAGTGGTGGCCGAATTAGTCCTACACACGGGACTCTTAACATAATCACTTTTTGAAAGGTGTCTGTCTCCACAGGGTTGTACTTATTAGTTCTCACTGGATTTGAACCCCACTGTGTAGAGCTAAATGCAACTTCTCAGAACAGAATGAAACGGAAAATGCAGGTAAAAATACAAGACTACCATATTTTCATGGTCAGGAGCAATCTTATTTGTGCACAAATAAACAGCAGGCAGCACATCCTCAGGTGAAAGGGCCAGCAAGCTGTATATGAACAATACCAACTTTGAATAAAATGAACAAGCTACATAGAAGCGCAGCCTAATTACTCGGAAAATAACACATGACGCATGTGACATCATGAGAGAAAAGGAAAAGCATCCTGGCAATAAACCTCCTAAACATATTGCATAGCATTGATGTAGCTTTTAGTTTGCCCTTTTCATCCTCAACTAGATCAAAAGTCCGTGCTATATGTATGTATGGAGCAGGCTGTCCTTTCCTCCAGCAAGCTGGAAATAAAGCAAAGCCTTAATCAAATGGTCATCTGAACAATAATATTAAATGTCGACAGGACTTGTATAAATTTGCAATCAGTTGGCTAAAGACCAAGTTCACCGACCATGCTCTATTGGAGAATATCTCTCAGGAGGTAGTAATAAATAATTCCCAGAGTCTGTTGGTTGGGCAGCGAAAGAAATATCAGACTTATTTCCCAGTTTATCGCTTTGTGATAGATCAGCATTTTTGTCGGAACAAATTCTACTGTTTCTTTCCCATTTTCTTCTTTTTTTCCTTCTTTCCCTCTCTGTAAATGATTTAGGATTTTCTTTATATATAATGAAAATTAGTTCCATATAGTACTACTTAGTGTTCCACTAAATTCAAATTACAATCAAGTCCCTTATTTCTATTGTATATAACATTTAGTAATTAACCTCCCATAATTAAAAACTAAACCCCAAAATTTTATTTTATTCGTTTTAATCCATTATTCACTGCTCATTTTCTTCTTTGTGATCAATTGATTTTGGTTTATTTAAAATGACATCTTGAGTTAGTAAAAAAAAAATGAAGTTTAAAAGAAGTACCCATATACCCGTATTAAAATTTGGACTTTTTAGCCATGTCCCGTATTTTAGAAAATAAAATATTCGACACTTATATACGTATTTGTAACCGAGTTCAAGAATCATAAGATACAATTATATGCTAAAATATATAAATGATTATATACTAGTATATAAGTATATAATCACATATTCTATAAAATGAATAATGGAATGCATTCATAAATCATTGATTTTAGTTTATTTTTATATATCAAACATTCTTAACCTGTAATACAGTCACTACTCAAGCACATCCACCACGCTACACACCTCTCTCCTCTTTCACATACGCATACACACTAAAGAACTTTTGGTATAATAAATAAAAGGAAAGTTTGGGTTATTTCAAGGAATTTTCATGCAGCTTCTCAGTTTCAAGCAAGGTATGCTATGAATTTTGGCTACAGTGTCATTATTTTGGGGATAAAATTTATAGGTCCTACATGAATAAGTTTGAAATAAGAGAACCAAATTTTAGTAGTGCTACGCACAAGAAATTCTACCACCTAAGTTAGGTATTTTCTTACATCTCCTTAGTCCTTAGGTATGATATGATTCATTTCTGAAATTTTAACACGATTTAGAAATTTAAGGTGCAAGTTTATTGATTATTATCTCATCCATTCCTTTTCCCCTTATAGGAAACTAGCGGTTAGAGGTGGTCAAGCAAGGAGATGACTTAAGAGTGAGATTTATTAAATACGTTTGAGGAATAATTTTTTCAATTATGGTTTGAAGCGATTTTTTCTTTGGACATTATCTTATCTTTTAGATGAAACTATTGAACCTATGACTTTGTTTTGAAAAGATTGGCTAATTATTACAAACATTATTTAATCTTAGTTTTTTTTATTGAGTCGATGATTCTATATAAATTTTCTTTATGTTGGCATTGATTGCCGACTCCCGTATCATAAGGTCACCAACTTCCTAGACCTTTCAGCGCTGGACAAGCATTAGTCCCCATACATGGTCTTACGATTTGCAAAGACCTATGTTTTTGGTAAGTAGTCGCACGGCCTGGTTACTAAAAGATTGGTTTATTATTATGAAATTATTTAATCATTAGTTTTTTTATCGAGTCGTTGATTATATATAAATTTTCTTTATGTTACTTTGAACTGTTAAGTTTCATAATTGTAACAACCTAGATCTCGTGTTTGAGCATTAACTCATACATACAGTCCACTTTAAAAAAGCATGTAATCATACTCCTCACTGATTTTTGTCGCATTCCAAGAATTCGAACTCTCGATCTTTTGAGAGAATTATGTTGAATCTTGGTATCAATTCATTTTCATGTTTCTCCTACCTATAATCTTTCTCTGATTCTATCTTTTTAATCACATCTTGTATTGCATTCCTGTTAAAAAGGCAAGGAGTAAAAGAAGTAGACAACTAGGACAAACTTAGAGCCAATCTTACAATGCAAGAACTTCAGCCACCACCAAGGACAAATCCTATATCTTCCCTAAAAGTCTAACTAATACAATAATGAAAGCTATATGTTTCCAGTTACTCTCACAGGAAACCGAAAATGAGCTCACCCATCCTTATTCAGAAATATTGCTTCATATTCGCATTTTTTATTCAGAAGACTTTCTTTAAAGAAAATGAGATTAATAACCAAAATGTTCAATTGATCGTACCAAAGTTCTGACTATGAATTTCATTTCCTTCTCTCGACATGAACGCATGAGATTCATAATGAGACTTTTCTTCCGGATTGTACTGCCGCTACCTGTTTGCACACTGAAATTCAATGTAAACAAGAAAATTTTACGAAGAATAACATAAATCTGTAAGTTACTAAAATATATAGAGATTGATTGGAAAAAAAATTCTCTGATAGATATTATTGTTATATAGGTGCTTTGTTTCGTCTTTATTCATTTGAATCAACATATGAAACGTAAATTTGTCTGAGTAGCATGTCTTAACAGACCTTTTGAATCTAGATGGAGTTCTAGAAAATATTTGCCACCACTCTTGCTAGAATCCCTATCAACTTCTATGGGAGAGTAATTTTTTAAAACATACCTTCTTATTGAATAATTTTTTAAACACATTCTATTCTGTTTACACAATTTTTTGAGCAATTGACGGTTACATCAGAGATGCTTTCATCGCAATTGGTTGGTAGGAATTTCTCCTTTTTCCTATTTTCCTATTTTATTTTATTTATTTAGCTAATGGAAGGGCACTTGAGTCTTTACATAAAAATATGATTTTTTAACGGACAATTGAATGAAAACCATCCAAAATGACCAATTGTGCACATTAAATAAAATGTTATTTGCGCCATAATTTGAAGGTTTTAGGCCATTTGTGCCAATTTCCCTGTAAATAATACTAACTTCACATGCATACAACATACGGCTCGATTTGGAAAAAAAGAAGACCTTTTAAGTGAAAAAAGCAAGAATTAATTGAGAACATGGTAACTATCAACGTTAATTTATCCAGAAGACTAGCAAACAAATAGATGCATAGCCTCAGCAGAACATCAATCAACAAACTACCCTGAGATGGGTGATGGAATAATACATTCAGGAGCAAAATTATCTACTATTGTAATAAGACTACACAAGAACTATCAAAGTTCTGCCAGTCACAGGGGTAAGGTAGAATGCAATTATCATAAACTGAATTCTAGAAGTATCATAACATGCTCCAAGTGAAACCTAGTCCGCATATTTCGGGGTTTGGGAAATAAATATGCTTTAACACATTGCCTAAGATTTCTTTATGAAATATAATTCAAATATTAAACAAGTTCATCGTATATTAAGGGCAAGAATTGGGCAATGCATACCTTATCTTTTGGAGAACTGAATACACTCCTTGAATTGTAAGAACTGGTGGGGGGGCAAGTAGTGATTGTGTTTGCCGGCAAAGTTGAGCAACATCACCTAATTCATCATGCATCATCAGCACAAAGATATATTGATATCGATGAATATAAAATAATATAAGAGAATGTTACAATTCATGGACAAAATTACAGGCATACCAAGATCGCCCAGGCTGTTATAAAGATTGCTTATTTTAGACCTGTTTGTCCCACATGCCTCTTCCAGGGCTGCAACTACAATACTTGCACCAATATTCAGTTCCTGAATCACCATTACAATATAGTCAATAGAACCATTAAAGTGTTCGTGGAAGAAACACTAAGCAAGAATTGTGATGGAGTGCAAACACCCCATTAAAGTGTTCGAGGAAGTAACACTAAGCAAGAATTGTAATGAAGTGCAAAAGCCCAAGTAGGAATCCATTTACATCTTATGGCAACAGCCTAGAGGTAGAGCTAGCAAGTGAACCGTTGAAATCATATTCGCATTCCTCAATTTTGAAATTTACTATCTTTTTCTTAGCTTAAATAACCTTATTAAGCAATATGCCTTCTCGAGTATAAACTCCCAAAATACAAGGATTTGGTCCTCAATGAAATATCCAAAACAAGCTTGAATTTTAATTACAGGGTAACAGGTTTTAACAATAATGCAGACATTAGTCCCTGCATAGTGCATGTACCTGGATTCACACCACTATAATAATCCTCCAGTAGCAACATTGACAATCAGGATGAACTTTCTGAACTATCCTAAAGAAACATATTAATTGTGATGATTTATCACATATCCAACAAAACCTACGAAATAACAGTTACACAGGTCTCTTTATAGATCATTAACAGAAGCAAGACATCCCAATCAAAATTTTAAAATCAGAAGCAATTTGACCTCAAGTTTAGATATCAACTTATAACTTATAAGCAACCAATGATGAACATAAGCCAATTTTATAAAAACAAAAGTCTGATGCATTCATTTCTTAGACTAAATAACTAAATGTGGAAAAATAAACGTAGTTCCAAGTCCAAAATCAAATAAAAAGAATGACTAAGTAAACACAAAAAGAAGATCAAAATTCCAGGTGAATTGGAAAAATAAATGTGAACAAGCCATATATTTGGGTTATTATCATTACTAGCAAAAGGAAACAAACTGAAACAGAAAGTACATGAATGACTGAAAATATATAATTTAAAGTGGTGGCCGAATTAGTCCTACACACGGAACTCTTAACATAATCACTTTTTGAAAGGTGTCTGTCTCCACAGGGTTGTACTTATTAGTTCTCACTGGATTTAAACCCCACTGTGTAGAGCTAAATGCAACTTCTCAGAACAGAATGAAACGGAAAATGCAGGTAAAAATACAAGACTACCATATTTTCATGGTCAGGAGCAATCTTATTTGTGCACAAATAAACAGCAGGCAGCACATCCTCACGTGAAAGGGCCAGCAAGCTGTATATGAACAATACCAACTTTGAATAAAATGAACAAGCTACATAGAAGCGCAGCCTAATTACTCGGAAAATAACACATGACGCATATGACATCATGAGAGAAAAGGAAAAGCATCCTGGCAATAAACCTCCTAAACATATTGCATAGCATTGATGTAGCTTTTAGTTTGCCCTTTTCATCCTCAACTAGATCAAAAGTCCGTGCTATATGTATGGCTGTCCTATCCTCCAGCAAGCTGGAAATAAAGCAAAGCCTTAATCAAATGGTCATCTGAACAATAATATTAAATGTCGACAGGACTTGTATAAATTTGCAATCAGTTGGCTAAAGACCAAGTTCACCGACCGTGCTCTATTGGAGAATATCTCTCAGGAGGTAGTAATAAATAATTCCCAGAATCCGTTGGTTGGGCAGCGAAAGAAATACCAGACTTATTTCCCACTTTATCGCTTTGTGATAGATCAGCATTTTTGTCGGAACAAATTCTACTGGAACATTCAGATTTAATCAATTCATTGCTTTCTGGCAACCTGCCTATTTTCTCATTGACAATACCAGTATAATCACTATAATATATATCAAGAGCCGTATTGATGTCTCCCTTAGCCTTCTCGAGGATGGTGGCTGCATAGCTTCTTAATTGTTCACCAGCATTTACAACCTGAATAAACTGATCCACCTCTTCTTTGTATGGCTCAGTAGCATCATCAATAGACCTACTTTGATCATCATTACATAGATTAAACGCTGTTCCAACTTTACTATCTTCAGAGACAACAGGCATTTGTTTACCAAAGAACCTTGTTATGGTATACTGCTTTGAACCACCAGAGGACTGGATTGGATTTGTTCATGTTCTTTTTGTTGCCTTGCTATCAAGATTTCTCTTTCTTTTTCCAGGAGAAATTCCACTCTTATTTAACTTTACAGGGCCAGATGATACATAGCTCTGAGTGCAAGAAACTTCCGCATCAATACGCACACTCTTAACAGGAAGTGATTCAAAGGGCAAAGCAGGCTCATGTTCTGCACTTGCTTGGAAAGTACCGGAGACAGATGTACAAGCTAGGGCCAGATTATGGAATTCAATTTCATGTTCATAAAAATTAGAAACCGCTTCAACAACGTCTCCACCTGAATCACCAAGTAAATCCAACATCTGGCGTCGAGGCACCCAACTGGGCAAGCAGTCTTCAAGTTCCTGAACAGATTTCTCTCTCTCTTTTTCTTTCAGGGGCACTAAATCAGGGGAACCAAGTTCATGCTGAGGAAATGAAGATTTCATGTCACCCACCACTTCAATGTCATTGCAACAATTTGGAGCAGACAAAGTGCCCTCATCCTCCTGCACTGGGAAATTGTCCAAAGCAGAAGCAGGATCTTTCTCAATCTTTGGATTCACTTCCTGGGGCCCACAGCGAAGGAAACCCATCAAAAATTCTTGCTTGATGGCCATTTCATCAACCAAACCAGCAAAATGCTTCTGCATTGCATCAGCATGTTTGCTACCAATTTTCTCAACATCAGAACCTACAGTGGGAATAACCCGCTTCGGCTTCAAAAACTTCACATACTCCCTGAGCTCGTTGTAGTTTGAATGCTCGCTATAGGGAACAAGATGAATATCAAATGAATCCATCGTCCTCACCGCAAATTTNAAAATCACCAGTATGAACATATTTTTCAAACTTAATAACATTGTTATTACCTTCATCATAATCATCACCTCTACTCTTACTATGCACCGGGACTTTAAATAAGAACTGAACCGCACCGGGGCAGTGATTGGCGTCGATAAGGGAAACTTCCGAGCCATCAATAAAAAGGGGTAGAGATAGAGGTAACGGAAAAATGAAGGCTTGTGGAATTTTGAGGATTTGGTGGAGGAGGCGAGCGGTGATGGAGGAGCAATAGATGATGCCTTCGGACCATTGCGGCGTGAGGCCTGTGTAATGGTCCGAGTGGAAGTGGGAGAGAAAGTATGAAACGGAGAAATTGGAATCGGCGTTTTTGAAACCGTCGACTATAAAGCGGGTTTTGGGGATGAGTTTAGAGTGGGAGAGGGAGGAAGGGGGAGTGGTGAGGGGACGAGATGGTGACGATTGCGATGGCAGGGAGAAGGAGGAGATAGCGGTATTGTAAAGACCAGTGGAGGATAGGGATAACGGTTCCGGCGGTTCGGAGGAAGACATGGAAGCCGGCGATTGCGCGGGTTTGACGTTGGGACCGTTGATATACCTTTTTCGTATGGGTGCGCGTGAAACTAAAAGAATTGATAATTGAGGGACCTATAAAATATGAGAAATATTCGAAAATTACACCATTATCCCAATCTATTGACCTAATTACAATTTCACCCCTAGACTAACTTTTCTATTGTCAATTTTAAAGGTGTTGATATTTATTGACGGATTCTGTCTGTTGAATTATGTAGTAGTCAATAGTTTGTTGTCTGGATCAGACTGGACGTGGAACAAACAAGGTGGTCGTTAAACCCAAGCCTCCGCCTTCGACCTTACCGCCCCGCCACCCACACACATGTATATAACATTTCTTCCCCATGAAACTTCAGAAGTCATCCAGTGGGTCAATACAAAATTATCATCCCTTTACACAAAATCCCATTTCCCATTTGAATCTTTGGTTATTGAGGCGCTAAAATGTCAAGTCTGAGTCATTTCCTCCAAGATTCTGCAGATGGATTCGACATGCAACTGATCGGAAATTTCCTGAGTTTTGCGTCAAGAGGGGATAGGGTTGGATTAAACCAGATGTTAAGGGAAGGTATATCTCCCAACGTGCAGGACTATGATAAGAGAACTGCACTTCATCTTGCTGCCAGTGAAGGCCATGCCTCCATTGTCGAGCTTCTTTTGGCATACGACGTTGATGTTAACCTTCAAGACCGTTGGCAAAGGACTGTAAGTATATTTTTTCCAAAAATGATGTCTGAAATTTATGTATTCGAAAACTGGGATCTTGATTTTTTGTATCAAAAGCCTTATTTACTTGCATAATATTCATAATTTATTTCTAGCCTTGAATTCTGAATCTTTGAACGCCCTGATATGACTTGACGCCATAATTTACCACGTCGAACCATGTCAATTAGAAGCTTAAGCTCTTAGAAAGCAACACTTCTATATATTACTATTAGGAATAGCCCTAGACAGTAAATAAATGGTATTGATGTGCTTGGATTGATGTCACAATTCATTTTGTATTTTGGGGAGAACAAAATCTTTTTCTCTCACAGTAGTTTAAGTTGTTAATTTTTGGTGAACAAGGTATATAGGCCTTAAACCATGAAAGTAACGCCCACATCATTTTTGTATCAATAAAAAATCTCGATTAATAATTTGGCAATTAAGTTGGAAGTTTAAATCTTATGGTGTTCTAAATATATGGTTTTGGAGCCAAATTGCGTAATTAGGCCTATCCATATCTAATGGGTTGCATCATAATATTGACGAATTCAGTTATTTGAGGAATGATAATATGTTTACTTTTTGAATTGTTTACGTCAGCCATTAGCAGATGCAAGGTTGTATGGACATCGAGATATATGCAGGATCCTTGAAGTCAATGGAGGCAAGGAATATGTTGAAGATCAACCAATGGTAATTTGTAAATTTTCACGACAATTGGTTATTCCTTCAGGCACTTCTGCTTTCCCGTTGACAAGATTGTTATCAAACCTGATGTATCCATAGTATTCTTATTTGTCTTCAGTCAATTGGTTAGTGCAAAATCACTCGTGTTATGAGTGAGATTTTGTGATTAGTACTTACACATATTTCCTGTTATGCAGCCAGTTCGCCATGAAAATGATTCACTGGAGGACATCGACATCTCTGAATTTACTTCATTTCAATCATCAGCAATAGAACAGGTATATCCATCAAAGATGACAGGTCTATACTTTTAGAATTCAAATTGAAATATTGTAATAGGCTAATAGTCAGCTTGGTGGCATTTGATCTTCAACAAGCTAACTTAAACTGGCTTAATTGGAAAATTTGAAATAAATTATGTCCTTTCAGTGTTTGTGTGCATGCATCAAATGAAATATAAATTCTCTCATTTACAGGGCTTTTTCTTTTGTCGTTTGTCAGGGTCAATTTGGTAACTCAGAAAAGGTCAAGTGGCGTGGAACTTGGGTGATGAAAACAGTTATCTCGAGACACATATATCATCCTGAGAAAATGTTAGTTTATTTAAATTTATGTAACGGATGCGGCACTACTAAATGGTCGGTTCTAAGTATTGATATGATATTATTTTGAAACTGATGTAGGGTTTTGACTGCAAAAGATAATACTCTTCTCAGGGAACTTCGACATCCAAATATTTTGCAGTTTCTTGGGTCAATTGTACAAGGTGAAGAGATGATCTTGATTACAGAGTATTTGCCGAAGGTAGATTAATTGTTTTATGAACGTTACTTCGAACGAGTCACCAGTAATGGTAGTTAATAGTTGTATTAATCGATATAATATCTGTTATTTCATTTTTTATGTCAGGGGAACTTGAATGATATTTTGGGTAGAAAGGTTCGTCTTGATCCTGCAACTTGTCTACGCTATGCACTTGATATTGCCAGGTAAAGTGCTACATTTCCTGTTCTATTTTTAACCCTATAGACAAAAGACCGATAACTGATATGTATGTTTTTTGGTATAGTTGATTATTCATGAGAGCACAACAAATTATGGTTTGCTTTCAGTTATTCTAATGTTATAGATTCCTCGTTTTGGCACTTAGCATTTGTCTCTTACACCTTCTATCCAAAATAAAGTCTGAATTTTATTCAGGACCCGCACTAATTGTTTGTTATACATAGTCCTTAAAGAATTATCATACTACCAGTTAAACGATCAATTATGAGAATATTTTATGGAATCATGTCCAACTTAAAAAATTGAGTCTCTTTTTTTTTATCTGAAAATATGGCCTACTTGGGAATCAATTGTGTTACCACTTAATCTACTTGCTTGTCACTACTGAAGAAATTCTACATATGTTGAATCAATTACAGGGGAATGAATTATCTTCATCAGCACAAGCCTTGCCCCATAGTTCACAATAATTTGCATCCCCGGTGAGCTTTTTCTTGCTAAATTCTTCGTTGGTCTTAACAAGTTTAATCTCTGCGTGTCAGTTGTTAACTAAGATTCCTTTTCATTACAATTTATACTTTTGTCTTCATATGGAGATCTTCTCCTCCGCCAGAATTTTTATACTGATGATTAACTTCACGTTTTGGCATTATATGCACTATGTTCTTGTGTCAAAACTCCAACTTTAATTCATATTTATTCATTTGGAGTCTCAATTATGTCTGTTCAGATGTTATACATGCAAAGTTTCGTTCCATTACCTCCATTTTCATCATTAAGCAATATACCGGTGTCATGTTGGTATCAAGTATTGGATAATACTTGACAGTAGTCATATTCAATATTGCATACATAGATTCACTGAAGGCATAAGCCGCACCTTTCGTCTTTGCCTCCCGCTTAAACTGTGGATTTTAGCATTCCACATCAACCCTTTTTTCATTTTTACTTTGGCCCAGGAACTTGTTGCTTGATGAAGGCGACCACTTGAAGATCGGTGAATATTGGATCCATATGTTGTACGAGAGAATACATCCAAATGAAGAGAGTAAGGCAGACTCCTGTTTAGAGTTTGCTTTAGTAGTCATGCCACTGAAGTGATTCTTCTTCCTTAATTTTTTCTTTTTCTCGCAGCCCTGTTAAGTGACATCCTTAACAACTCACTAAATGATACTACGAAAGACATTCGCTCTTTTGGCATTATATTTTATCAGGTATATAAAATTTATGCATGCATTTGACCTTGTCTGCTGTTTGCTAGCTTTATAACTGTCATATTTACTCTAGTTATCCTTTTCCCAATGATATTTTATGTTATAAATAAATAGTAGGTGGTGAAGTTATCTGTTCCAGGGCTGAGTGTCCAGACCCCCTACTCACACGGGTCAGCCTGCCTTGTCCTTAACTTCAGCACCTGAATGCTAGCTCGGGTGGCATCAGCGGCCAATTTTACACCTCTAATCAAATCCAGTTATTTATTAATTATACCTTAAATATGACGGATCAGTTAAATATTTTGCTATAAAAATTAAGTCACGCTCAATTATTTCAGTGTCGTTATCATTTCTTGACCCATAAATATTGCAGATGCTGGTGGGCAAGCACACCAACATAAACTCCGAGAATATGAATCTCCAGTCTGTTGAATTTGAAAAGAAGTTCAGTATGAGTCGATGCCCTATAAGAATCACTCAGTAAGATATTACTATTGTTCATTTGACGCTTTCTTTGTTCATTTTCTTTTTTCCTTTATGGGTATCTTCTTGTCGTGTGCTCTTAACCTGAATTTCACATGGCAACATAATTGAAAACTTTTAACAATTGATAAATAATTGGAAAATAGAAAGTTACTTTTAATCACTTCCGCTTTTTTTAAGGTTTAGAAACGTGCAATAGCAAAGATGTTCTTGTCCTTTGCAGGCTAATAGAACAGTGCACCAGTAAGGAAGTTTCTATGAGGCCTTCATTTGCTACTGTTATAGTAATCCTGGAGGAAGTTATCTCGTTGCTGAGAAAAGCCGGTTGCCCCGTCTGTTAAATGCGGACACTCTACCACATGAACAATTGAGATAACAGTGTAAAACCAAAATCTGCCTGCAAGATGAAAGACGCGAAAGTGCTTTTGCTTTTCTTGCTGCTGTGATTATCTGAAGTTGAACATTGCAGTGTTTAGTAAGTGAACGATCCCACACGAGATGATCTTCATTCCTCTCGGATCTACTATTAGAACCCTTTTCTCCAGAATTTTGGTCAGGACCAATAAGTCTGGAAATGTAGAATAAAGTTCCAATCTTCTTCCCAAGATGGCCATTCTTCGACCATACGTTTTAAGACAAGATACAGAAAAAAGTATTCAAAAAAATTTGAATTTGTCTTCAAGATTGTATTCTAATGTAATATTTTAGAAGATATTGGGATTTGTAATGTATTGCGTGAAATTTATTTTCTTTGGTGGATTGTTCAAGGACGAACTTGTCACGAATTATTGTTCGATCAAAAATACAGCAAGTGCACGATCGATAACAAGTGGTAAATTGGATTTTAAGTCTAAGTATCGTTATTAGTTCAAACTCAAATTAACTCAACCTTAGCCAAAACAATTGAAAGTTGTGATTTTTCCTATAAAATCAATAATCTACTCATGAATGCAAAATAACAAAATCAATGCAAGTTTATAATTAAGTGTAAGTTTTATAAAAATATGACGATGAAAAACGTAGGGTCCCGAATCCTCTTATATCAATCCTTTTTAATTTCGAAACTTTATGAATTTGACAACATGATTCAATTATGAAGATCAATATTCCTAATTTATTTAACAAATTTTCTTGGGTAGAATAAAATATATTTTTACTTATGACCTGACTATATTTCTATTACGGATACGAACATATAAAAATGCATTAAAAATTTATAAATACTTAAAGATCATGTAAAATGTAGTGGTATATTTTTATCCCTTATCGAACTTTTAACGATTTTCGATTTACTCATAATATTATTTTATGGAAGATTGTGTGATTTAAAATATGAGAGAGAAAAATAAAATATAATTTAATGAGATTTAAACATTATCTTAATCCTTCAATAATTGAAAATATATTTTAAACGTCGAAAAGAAATAAAATTCAAAAGTTAAAGATTCATAATACATAGTTCATAAAAAATCTAAACATAAAATAATTTAGCTTAGCATAATATTGAAATTAAACAAATAAAAATGAAAAGACATCACCAAAATTTGACGAAAAGTAATTAATTCTCGCTCAATTGTTGATGAATTATTGTACACAAATTTTGGAATTAATTCAATTGTCGCTGCCGTTCCATCCTCTTCTATTTTCTTCTCTTTGTTTTTCTCCAAGCAGTCGCCCTTTCCAGAATTATTCTTCTTGTGGCCCTGGGCCCTTGGAACATGTTGCAACTTATATATATATATATATATATATATATTCCCTTGCGTCCTCTTTGCCGTCTTCTGTGTGTGTGTATTTATATCTTCCAGCTGCCAACTTGTATTTTATTTTCCAACAAGCGGCCCTTTTTCTCATCAACAAAAGCGTCCAATTTCATTCCATTCCCACGAATTTGGTCTACGCCCAAGTTGATTTTCATTGTAGATCTTATTAAAATAACTGAAAATTATAAGGACCAAGTGTTTTCAAAATCCCAATTCTTAATTAAGATTTGGAAAAATTGCAGTCGAAGTACGAGTGAGTCAAAACTCGGTACCTCTCCCTCATGCTCCTCCTCAAAGGCCCGACATGTTTGAAGATGATAACCTATGAGGCCAACTGTAGTAGTGCCGAAGGTGGTGGTGCCGGAGGTGGTTTTAGGTGGTGGTGATGCTTAGTGCTTTGGGGTGAGGGGCTTGGGAAAGAAGGAGATGGGGTGGGGGGTTATGGTTTTTCTTTTTGCTTTTTTAATTTTTAATTTAATAGGGAAAATGTGATTTTGTCCAAATTGCCCTTGCTGTATTTGGGAAAAATAATCGGATTTTTAATTTCTGGGGTCAACTGACGGATTTTGGGGTCAAACTGACGGAAACCGTCATTTTGGACTTGAGCTGCATATTTTTTAAAGGTTTGGTACTCACGGTAGCACAAATCAAAGGTTTGGGCAAAGTCTGCTAATAAACGAAATGTTTGGTACTTAGGCTGCAATTTTCCCTTAAGATTTAGAAATTTTTTCTTTCAAAAATCATAAATACTTAAAATTCTAAATATTAATAATAATATTATAAAATTTATTTTACATATCCACCCATTACTTTCTACCCATCTGGCGATGTAGGTGGCGGACTTTGACTATAGTGAGGTGGTGTGGTAGTGGATCTAGCGCTATTGGCTGTGGTGAGGTGTTGGTTGCAAACGATTGGGGTGTAGGTGGTGTCGACGACAGGGATCGAATGTGACGAAGAGTGTTTGTGACTAAGACTAATAAATTAGTTGACTGTAACCATGACCAATAAATTTGTTAATTTGTGACCAGTAAATAACGTGAACTAAAAAATATGATTGTGACTTGCAATTTATTAAGCTGTGACCGATATATAACTTGTAACCAATTAATTTTAAATTTTGTGGCTATTAAATAAGTTTTAAGTTAAAAAATTTTTGATTTGTGACTAGTAAATGAATCGTGATTTATAAATTTTTTTGATTTTATGACCGATGAATAAATTGAAATCTATAAAAATTTTAATTTGTAATCGAGAAATAGTTTATGACCTATAAATTTTTGATTTGTGCTCGAAAAATAATTTATGACCTATAAATTTTTTTATTTGTAACTGATAAATAATTTGTAATCAATTAATTATATAATTTGTGATCAAATTGTATAGAATTGTGAGATTAATATATTTAATTGATAAAATATATTTTTAAATAATTATCTCATAAATAAACTTTAATATTATCTGAGTTTTGAAATTTAAAACGTTGTTTCTTTAGTTTTGAAATATGTCATAGTTAAATTCTTATAAATGAATTTTTCCCTTAAAATAAAGCTGACCTCAGCATTCCAATTCCAATTAGTTGGTGGCCCACTGACTTTGTGTTTCTTCAATTCATCCAATCTTTCAAATTAATGTAATTTAGTCCTTGAGTTCATCAATTGTGCAACCAAGCCCCTCTTCAATTCAATTTAAGCCCTTCAATTTTCAAAGTGTTAAATTTGATCCCAAAAATTGAACCCAATAGCCAATTGATCCTTCTTTTTTTCAATTACTTCACACGAGTACATAACTAAAAACAAAAGAAAATTAACCAAAATAAAATAAAAATTAGTAATTTGATAACATAAAAATTTAGTAATATGACTTGAATAAGTGCACAAAATGCACTTATCATAGATGATCGACATTTCAAATCTTGTGGTTGTACTTTATACATCCATTCTCTTTTCCTTCAAAAATTGGACAAATTCATATATCAAATAACAATTTGATGCTAAGTTGAGAGAGAAGCTGGGCAATCATATGGAGCAATATATCCTTTTATGTCCTCAAACTAGCTAATTATAGCATTTATGTCCTAAATTTTTTCATAATATCACGCCTGATAACGGTTTCTATCAAGATGTCATTAGCATTTCTCGAAATAAGGGGAAAAATATTTTGTCACACTTAAATTTAATGATTGTTATATAGCCCATGTTTGGTTTCCATCATTTTTTAAATTTTCTTCTATAAAATCATTTTCAACCACACATTCACATAAAAAATTATTTTATACAGAGACTCAAAATTATTTTCTTATTTTTTAATCACGCATTTTCCTAAAACACTATTAAAAACACCTTTTTTTTTTTTTTTTTTTTTTTAAAGAATGGGCACCAAAGAGAGGCATAATATTATGGACAAATAAGTCGTTTTACATTTTTTCAACGAGCTTCTCGAACAAAAAGCTCTATCAGATTACTAATCGATTGGAGGATGAGGTAAAATGAGTTGAAAAAATATCAAGAACACGAGTGTTACAATGGACAAAAAGCAAGGACCTTAAGTTCAATTAAAATGCAACGCTACTATTAAAAGTTGCAACTTGAAATATAAATACCTCCTAAATGTACATGTTCTATAAAAAGATTGAACTAATAGAATTGACACAAACAACTTCTTCAGTTTTAATTTTTTAAAAAAGTAATGTTACTCTTATCGATAGTTTTCACTATGAATAATTCTTTTTAATAATTTTTTTATTTTGTTGATTTTGTCAAGAGTCTCGATCTGTCTTAAGAAATAAATTAGTAGTTTTCTCATTGATCTCAACCTGGATTATGAAATATGAAAAATAAAAAATAATTTTTTTTTATAGAAAAATATATTTGTACAGATCGAGAGATTTTGATCCAGTTTAAGAAAACTGAAAGAAATAAAAATAATATATCATTTCTATACCTTAAATTTAGCTCTACTATCTGTGGATCAACACAAATGATGCTTTCCAAATTGGGAAATTCATAAATTTAAAAAATACAAACTTACTTTCTTTTTTGATTTATCATTCAATTCAAAATTCTAACCTGTTTCTCTTTTGTAACAACATTTATTTCTCAAATCGTATAGATAGCCAATTTCGTCTCTATATAATTTACACAGACACAAAAGTAAATGAACAATAAAATTAGAAGGATGATCAGTGCAAGTACCCTTGTTCGAGCTCCATTTTGGAGGAAAAAAATGTATTTTGGAATAATGATTGTTTAGAGAATGTGGAACTAAAAAATAAGAAAAAGTTTTCGAATTAAGTATAAAATTATTTTATTATAGAATATGTGATTGAAAATGTGTTTCGAAAAAATGGAATTCAAACAAGGATTTAATATAATTATCGCAAGAATGAAGTTGATATTTATTAAAAATCAATATTAATTTCTTGTTTGGTTTAATTAAAAGTTATATTTTAGTAGATTTGATAAAATGATATAAAAATGAATTTAAGAAAAAATAAGATATAGAAGAAAATGAGCATTTACGTCTAATATGTTCAGTGAATATCTGATTTCCGCGCCGAGTCCTCGTCAGCTCCTTGCTTGTCATTGTCAATTGTGTCTCTTTAATCTGTATAAACCCCCAAAATTTCTTCCCTCCGCATTTCTTAGGGTTTTTTTTTTTCTATCGCCCTCAATACTAGATTGTTGGCATGGCCGGAATCAGGTTGCCGCTGGAAGATGCAGACGTGTCGCATGCGACGCGGCAGGTGGCCGCCGTAGATCTGATCTCCGACGACGATCGGTCCGTGGCGGCAGACTCCTGGTCCATCAAGAGCGAGTACGGCAGTACTCTCGATGACGATCAGCGCCACGCTGATGCCACCGAAGCCCTCTCCGTTGCCGCGTATCGTGCCCCCTCCGAATACAGGTCCTCTCTGTCATTTCACTAATCCACCGAAATTCATGTTTTTTTCGTTATGAAATTAATTTTCCTTTACATAAAGTGCAGAAGAAAATGGACTCCTCGTAACTAATGAGGATGCCCTTTGACCACAACATTAATAAAATACTCTATTTTTTAAAAGGAATTATTGTTGCTACAATTCTTGCTATAGGAAGTTATATAAAATTTTTGTGAAATTTCCTTATTACAATGAGCAGTTCTGACAAGGAGGAGCCAGATGCTGAAACGGTTTCATCATTGTTGGGTTTTCAGAGTTATTGGGATGCCACATATGCAGATGAGTTGGCAAATTTTCGGGAGCATGGTCATGCTGGTGAAGTTTGGTAAGTGTTGCCATAATTTTGTACGTTTATTTATTATGTTCACCTTTGGTCATTATCGTTCAACTTGACTGACAAACACTTCATGCTCTTCTAGTTGGAATTTAAAAACAAAGGAAGTGGTTGCAACTGTAGACGTTTTATGGGGAGTAGTTAGCTTGGGATGTTTGGCACATTCACTTGAATATGTTCTCTTATATTTATTTGCCTAGACCAAAATAGTATTTCAATGAATTGTTGTAAAAGCGAGCAAGTGTAAGCATGTTTTTTACTTCACCTTTCAATGAATTGTTGTAAAAGCGAGCAAGTGTAAGCATGTTTTTTACTTCACCTTATCCATGTGTGGATCCAATACAATTTCAAAACTTTCTCACGATTTGTAAGAGGCTGTAAAACGGTTAAATATTCAGGTTTTATTCCACTCTGGAGACGGATTGTTCTAGGAGTTGGATTCCATAATCTTCAATAGTAGTACTTGAGCAAGTTCCACTCTAGCTAAGTTTTCTTGGGGTGGGGGGATGGCAAAGTGTTTGGTCATTGCAGCATGGACATTGGAAGGATTATATTTTTCACATGCCCTCATGTGAGTTACTGGTGACTTCAGACGGGGCTATCTTGGGGGCTCCAACAATATCGGTTGTAATCTTGCCGCTCTTAACAAACTTGAGTATTTGCTTCTTTTTGTTCTATGGCTCTTAAGACTCATCCTGTATTCAGGCAATTATTGGGGAATCCTTGTCATATCCATGTTTCCACAATCTAATTCTTAATGATTTCTGCTATATTACTTTTGGTCGTCTGATAGTAATTATTTAATACTAACTTAAACTGGAGATGTGTCAGTTTACTCACAAATACATGATATCCTGCCTTTTCAGCCTGGAAAAAACCAGCAAAATAAGAATTGAGGGAGGAGGTCACTGCAATAATTCACATAACACTGAAACCCCCTTTCTCTTTTCTCCTCTTTTTGCCTTGTAAGGGAAAAAAATGTGTGAAACTGTATTTTTGGAGCTATGCTTAATGCGATGTACTATATTTTTTCCATTCTGTAGGTTTGGAGCTGATGTGATGGAAATTGTTGCTTCTTGGACCAAAAACTTATGCATTGGAATATCTCAGAGTCACTTGCCAAATCATGTAGATAATGCAAATAATTTGTCTGCTGGAGAGCCTGAAAAGGAGTTGTCCAACTGGAGTGTGCTGGATGTTGGGACTGGTAATGGTTTGCTTCTTCAGGAGTTTGCTAAGCAGGGGTAGGGATAATTTCTTTATGTTCTGCAGCAATTACTCGTATGCTGTTTGAATATATCCAAAAAATTTTGGCGATACCTAGAATTTTGTTAGATTTGCTTTAAATTGCAAGTTATCAGCTTGGATGCTGTGTCTTTCTTCTTTGTTGCATCATTTGTCTGTAGCAATATTTTTGCGAGTATCTCAAGAAACTTTTATAAAGTGCATTTTCCTGAAATAATCATAAATGGCAGGAAGACAAAAATTTGATGGAAGAAGAAACTCCTACCTTAAATATGCATATTTCTCTGCTTCATTAATTAGATTATAAAAGAACAAATTACTTTGTTATAGCTACAGATGGGTTATGCATAATTTTGTTTTTATTATGGATATCATTCTGATGGTAATGTTGCAATGTTATGCAGTCACTATTGGATATTTGTTATGGTGCGATTCCTTATATTCATTTTTGGTACCTACAATGCGTGTTAGAAGGCGGAATAGGACTTTTATTTTGGAGAATAATAGCCACTTTGATGGGGAAGTATTCTTTTCATTGTAAAGACAGAATATGGAAGGATAAATCCCTCATGTTGGTGTCAATATCTATCGAAGTTGTTTCACATGTTCCTGTTGTCTTGATGGCATCTCATTATTTATTTTCAGTTTATTTTGTTTCTCTTGCATTCCACCATCATCAATTGTATGCTTACGTGCATGTAAATTTTTTTGAGTTACCGATTTTCTCACATTTTTGTCTGTCAATCTGGAAATTTTAAAACATCCCAAAAGTGAAAATGGAGCTCTTAAAGCGGGTAAATCTCTAGCTAATATAGCATTTTGAGATAAGTGCTATAAGAGATGATTTAGATACTTATAGCTGGAGTAATCTTTTGGTTGGGAAACTCGTGGAGATGTATTATCAGCGTCCAGACGTGAGACTGGCTCCATTAACTAGGTCATGGATAGACAGAATAAGGTGAATGACATTCACATGCAAAATACCAGTATCCTGCAATATGAGCATGGTTTTATAATATAAATAGGGAGCTCGAACTTCTCAGTTTGGGCAATGTTTGTGACAACTTGATATGGAAAGTGAGGCACTGTTGATGTGACATAGTATGCTCGTGTATAGAACTATTTAATACAGACCATTGCTTACAAGAACGTGGGAGGGAGAGTCTACATGTACCTTCAAGGAGACTTGTAATGTTTATGGTTAGTAACATGCTGGGGACTATTTATTACATGGTCATGATAGCAGCCAAAAGATGCACAAAGCTATGTGCTTCGAAATTTTTAAAAGTTCATGGTACTCGGCCTGTGTTTCAAGCCTGCATCACTTTCTTTGTGGAATTGGTAATAATTCTGTAGATGATTCGAATTCTTTTTGGAATTCAGTATATGATCTCAAATGTTTTTCTTAAGGCTTTGGAGCCTGAAAATTCTTTTCTATTGTTGGTTGGAGCTGCCTTAACAATTTTGTCTAAATTTAGGTATAGGTAGTCTGTTAATTTGTATTATGAATATATTATTTCTCCTGTGACTTCACTAGTGCAAGAGAAAAAGGTTTACTAACAGCCTAAGAAATGTTGTTTGATTGATGTTCTATGCTACGCTTTTCACAAAAGTAAACAGGGAAGAGATTTATTGTTTACTGAAAATATTGTTTTACAAACATCACAGGATATTCTCGCTGTGCTCTCTCTCTCTCTCTCTCTCTCTCTCTCTATAACGTAATGGCGTGTAAAATTTAGTCTTGATCTTTTATACAATTAAAATTTTGAAACTTCTGAAGAACTAATTGAGGTACTTCTGCTTCTAAGGTTCTCTGATCTCACTGGAACGGATTATAGTGAAGGAGCAATAGATCTAGCTCGAAGCCTGGCCGATCGTGCTGAATTCACCAATATTAAGTTCTCAGTAAGTAATATCATTTTTTTTTTTTTTTTCATTTCATGACAATACGACCTGTTCTCTTATTGTATCTTCAAGGTTAATATTGTTTTGTGAATTTTAAAACATTTTCAACATCTATCATTGGATATGCCGCAAAGTGTTTGTTTGTTTGCCGAGATTTGTTTGTTTTGATCTCAATATTAATAAGAATCTGTCATGGTAGATGTTGCGCTTATAATTTAAACGTGAAGGTTGTGTTTAGGACACTGAAAAGTTGAGGAGGCCAACATTGTTTGACTTTAATGAAGTAGGAATTTGGGGGAGTATAACACTTAATGTACCCCCAGACCCTTTATCTGGCATTTATAATGTTATTCCATACGTCCCACAGGCTTATAATTTAAACGTGAAGGTTGTGTTTAGGACACTGAAAAGTTGAGGAGGCCAACATTGTTTGACTTTAATGAAGTAGGAATTTGGGGGAGTATAACACTTAATGTACCCCCAGACCCTTTATCTGGCATTTATAATGTTATTCCATACGTCCCACAGAATTAGTAAGTCTGAGTGGACAAGCTTATATATCTTCTATCTTCTCAGTGCTGAATATATTCTCTTGAGACAAGAATATTGACATTTAATTCTATGATTGACAACTTCCCTTTTATGAAAAATTTAGAGAACTTGGGAATATCCTTCCTTCTTTAGAACATACAAAAGACGAAATATTGCTGTATTATTAAGGTGGAAGCGCTGGACAATTATGTGACATGAGCATTGTACTTTTATCTTGTTATAGATGTAGTCTTTGTGTAATTTAGAGATCGCTGTATAAAATTGTTTTTAAGTACTGATGACAGTGCATCATGAGACTATGTCCTTATCCACACTGGATTAGTGGCTTCGGAGCTTAACCTGTGATTATATGATGTAATCCTCTCGGTGAATTCGATGTCTTAAAATTTCCCTTGTGGGTATGAATGGCAGTACCCCTCATTCTCAATATATGATTTTTTGAAGTAAACTGTGATCGGCATCTAAGCTGTTGAATAATTATGACCATTATGTTTCACTCAAACTAGCTGCAAAGATGGACCTGCATGCAGTTCAAGAAGTAAACAAAGTTCTTACAGAGCTGTTTTATTATAAATATATGTCTGCAAGAAGACGTGTTTAAAGTTTTGATATTACCTTGATTCCTCTTTCACGACATGTTTAATGGTGCTCAATCAGCATCCTCGATAAATAACTGATAGTATATATGATCATCTCATTATGACTTTTATTTAAAAGGATAAGTAAGGGAGTCTCAATTGATTGCCCTAATACCAATTCAAAATACACCAAGTTTGCATAATCAACTGTTGACGGATGCAACCCAAAATTTTTGGTAGTAGACGCCCTTTCATTTCTTTTATCCCGTAGGTCCTGGCCCAAAATTTTTTACCAAAAGTAAAATACCAAGGTAACAGTTGTGTGGATAAATGCACAGAATGAACTGTGCCAAGTGCCCTGCTGGTGTTAATTTTAGATAGTTAATGGTCCTATTATTTTCTATTTGAATTGTACATGATCATTATGTATACTTTCTCAGGTACAAAGTTGATCTTTATTCTTCTGAATTTGGGTTTTCAGGTTGATGACATTCTGGATACCAAATTAGATAAGAAGTTTAAGCTTGTTATAGATAAGGGTACTCTGGATGCCATTGGATTGCATCCTGATGGTCCTCTCAAAAGGTGAAATATCATCTTATATTACTTGATGCCCCCCCCCCCCTCCTCCCCCCATTTTTTCTTTTTTTAACCAGCTCTTGTATTTCATGAGACTATGGATCAAGTTCTCTGTATATAGTATAGTTGTTCACCAAAAATGAAATGAAGTTTTCTAATGTCTCCAAACTACATGGATTGACAATTAGACAACTGTTATTTTCTGTTTCAGGTCAATGTATTGGGACTCCATCTCCAGTCTTGTGGCTTCTGGTGGATTATTGGTGAGCATTTGCAATATATGATCACCTTTTACTGCCATTATTATGTCGGTCATGCTACTGATAAGTGATTACTCTTAATTTCTACCTGCTTTGAAACCTTCATTACACAATTTTGTTTGATTTTTTCGTTTCGAAGCAATTTAACATTTTTATCATGTGTCTGGGAGGATTGAATTTTGTCTTCAAGAAATGCATGAATGACGCTTATCTACTTCTGAATAAAGAATCATATTTTCTTGTTTATTACAGGTTATTGATAAGCTTCTGAATAAAGAATCATATTTTCTTGTTTGTTACAGGTTATTACGTCATGCAACAGTATGAAAGATGAGCTGATACAGGAGGTGGAGGCTTTCAATCACAGGAGTGGTGCGTCTCCGGAATCTGACACTGCTGTTGACCAAGCATTCCAATACGTTGACCATGTTCAGTCATATCCAACATTTACATTTGGAGGATCAGCTGGTTCACGTGTTGCCACTGTGGCATTTCTAAGAAACTAAAATCCCAACTCATTTCGGCGTGTTTTTACTAGTCTATTATGTGGAGACCTACTAGCACTACTCATTTTTTGAAATGACGACATGGTCCTGGGGTGTATAGACTCGTTTTGGGCTACTAATGCAACGGTAGAAGGGAAAAGTGGTGTGGATTGTGGTTTTTGCTCATTCAAATGACATACTCATTTCCTGATTTCTTTATCCCATTCCCCTTTCTTTAGATTTGATAAATGATTAGCTGTTCATGCTTCCAAATTCGCCCTGTTACGAGCATTTTGAATTTGATTTTTATTTTGGAATGCTTCCTCAGGTGAATGACATATCACCAAGGTGTACACGAATTTGATTTGATTTAGCTTAGCCAGTCAGTACAATATAACATGTATAATGCAAATTCTTCATATTTTCACAAGGTGCAAGGTGGTCTTCGTGATATATTTATGTATAATACAAATTCTTCAGGTGCAAGGAATCAGGTTGGTTACCAGCCAGGAATCTGTTGTTACATCTGAATTATAAGATCCTTCGTATGTACCGAGGAAACAGGTTGGTGCCAGGGAACGTGCTCGTCCCTTCACGTAAGGTGCAAGGAATCAGTTGGTGTTTACAGGCAAGAATTTATTGTTGCGTCTGAATTATAAAATTCAAGAAAAAGTGAATCCATTGGTTGGAATGGGTAGACGTTTTGTTTTTCTGCGTTTCTTTTCCTTGTATTTCTAGTTTCTACGCCTGCCCCATATTTAACTCTTGATTGACCATTGAAACAGTCAAACTTTTGTCTAGTCTATGACTATGAAGTTCGTTATGACCAATGTATGCATAAGAATTTGATGCGATCTAGTATTAGGATATACTATAATTGCCTGGAAACCCGGTTTGGAGAGGCGGGACAGACTGTCCTCCATCTTTAATTGAGGTGCTCTGGATCGGGGTACATTTGACATAATCTGAACTGCGCTAGAAGTTGGTTTTGATGAATGCACTCGATAAGAGAAAATAAAAAGAATTTACAATAAGATTATTCAAGAAAATTTGTACAATAAGGGTGCGTTTGATTACAAGTAGGAAAATTACATGGAAAGAAAATGAATTCCAAGGAATTGAATTACCTAGAAATTGTTTTCATGGAAATTGTAAATTATTGTGTTTGATTGTATAAATTTTTCACGTGGAAAATGTTGAAGTAAAAGTATTTTTTGATGTTCGTTTGACTTTGTTTTACGTGGAAATTGTCAATTTCAGGGATATCCTCTTTTACAATTATTTCTAAAATTTGTTCCCATTGCCAACAATTAAAAAAAAATAAAAAAAGCAAAAAAAAAATAAAAAAAAAAGGTGGAAAACCAAAAACCACCTATCCCCTAGGAAAAAAAAAGGTGGAAAATCACGCTTTAAGGTGTTGTACCTAGAAATTCATGGAAAATCAATTCCCTGGAAAATTTTGTCAATCAAACAGGCCAAAAGTGGAAGTTGGAATTCGAATTTCAAGTTCCATGGAAAATTTCGTGCAATCAAACGGGGCCTAATAGTCTTTTAATCGACAACTTTAAAGCGATTTTTTTTCCCCATAGGCATGGTGGCTTGTTAAAAAAAAATTGTCATATTCAATCTAAGGAGCAGGCTGAAAATCCCAATTGGAAAAACATGCCACAACTGAATATATACGACATGTTTAGTATATTAGACATTGAACGGTGACTTTCTTCTATGTACTAAACATCACTATGACATTATACACTCTCTCAATAATGATGCTTGTGTGTGTGCTTTTTTTTTTTCGAAGAGATATAAATACAAATTTTTATTTATCATTTTGTAACTGCATAAATAATGTTGCGCTTTTCTCCCTCCGATTTTTTAATAATATGTGTACAGGATGCCAAGTTTCTAAAGTTGGCCAACTTCTTTAGAGGGATTGTATGCTTTGGGTGTGGGCAAGCTCCTATATACATAGTTTCACAATCATAAGATTTTAGCTTGTTTTATTAATTTACAATCTAGTCTGTCCAACAAACTCGATGCCGCCTTATGCACATTTTCAAGCTCTATGGTCGTGAAGGTTGTCAGGTTACTAATTACTCAACATAGAAAAATCTTGAAAAAGTGTTAATTTTCAAGAATTCGAATCTTATAATATGCTGGAAATCTCTTATCATAATCATTCACACTAGACGTATATTAATACTCGAGAGTTGGACAGGATGGCCCTTATTTAAGAATTATATTGGCCCCCCATTTTCAATAATAAAAATATGAAGGTGATACAAAGATTAATGGCTTGCTCATTGCATATGAACTTTTTCAACTGAATAGTATTTGCAAAAGAATGAATATAAAAGTAAAAATAAGGAAATATACATCTGATGGTAAAAGCAGTAAAGTAAATTCTTGTACTCTGAACATGCACATATGAATTTCATAAACTCATATGAACCAAAAGTGAAATAATGTAGAGGCAAAAGGTTCCACTGAAAATTGTGAGTCCAAATGTTCCACCAACCATTCCTATAAGTTGAAGAAACTGAACAGATTCTTCATCCCTTTTGCGTCTGTAAGTGTATGTAGGTACATAATTCCATCCTTGCTCAGCTACACAGCACCTTTCCAGTCTCTCCTTGATCCTAACTTCTTCCATTCTATCTCTCAAAACGCGTAAATTCGCATCCACAATACTGCTCGATCTCCCTACAAAGACGAACAAGACGGTTAAAATTTGCATCCACAATCTCTCTGTGTGTGTACAGTGTACAGTGTCCGATAATTACCTTCATCTCTGAAGCATTGGGCTCTCACTGCTGGAAAGGACCGAGATACCCTAGTTTTCTTGCATGGGAGGACTGCGCCACATATATGAATTGGTAAAGAAGAAACCATTTTCTCTACAGAAACACACACTATCTTCACTGCAAACCAAGAAAAAGGACTGATTTTAGGGTTAGTGGTTTCCCTGTAATCAAAGATTTTGTGCACATTAAGCAAAAGATTATGGGAAAAATAAGTCTCCTGAATTGGAGATGGGCGTTTAGTTAATCAAGAATTTGAGCTGATACTACAAGGATAATGCAGATAGAAAAAGGTTAGGTTCGACGGAAATATATACACAAACTGGATTTGCATGTTTTTCCATTAACTAATGAAATTTTTGGCTTTTGCTTTTGGATTATTGGACATCTAATTCATGAATTCCAGCTTAATGGTCTGCCTTGGATCTTAAAATAATCTGTAACCGCGTGATTTCGTGAATTGCATGGTGGCTGCATTGACTTGTTAAATAAGCTGGAGTGTTGGACCATGTTTGGCTAAGCTAAGTAATGGTATAAGTAACTCGTCATATTGAAATTTGAATTACATTTTTTATTTTTGGCTTAATTTTGATTTATAAATTCTTTCTTCTTTCTAAAGCACTGTCAAAATACTCTAATTATTTCCAGCCCTGAACCATTCAATATTGTATTTTTCATTTAATTTAACCTCGCTTGCTTATAAGTGAACATATTTGTACGCTTCTTAAGCTTAGCCATACATACTCTTAGCTGACGGGATTTATTTATTCTTATTTTTTATTTTTTACGAGATGGGGGTGGGGGGGCGGGGGGCGGCTGCGTTTGGTGTAAATTAATTTAATTCAGAATTAATAAAACCAGCATGCATAATCACCAAATGTCTTCTTGTCTAGTAATTTCTCCCTTAATTTAATTCATCCTCGTTTTGTCTTGATCCTTAATTAATTTTTTAAATTAAAGAATATTGTCAATGTTTAACAGCATTATTAATTAATTTCGACATATCTATTTAAGAAGATTATTGTTATTTATCATCATGATAATGAAACATCGGTGATGTGACAATCCATGTGGAATAATGGAATTGGACAATTCAATTTTTATGAGAGAGAGAGAGAGAGGAAGGAGACGTGGTCTCAAGAGAAGGAGAATTGTGATGAAAAATAGGTTGCTACATCACTTATATTCCATTATCATGAAGATAAATAGCATTACTCGTTTTATAAATAGTTTCATTTTGTCGAATATAATAGAGTTTCTGGCAAGCAAAGACAATGTTGACACAAGATCGAGATTTGACTTGTTTTTCGACTCTATCTTCTTGTTCAAAAACAAGTTCAAATAACTCGACCTTTCATAGAAGCTTGTAGGCAACTCATATATCTTTCAAATAATTATCTCAAAGAGACAAAGACTCAAACAAAACAAAACAAAACAAAATTAAGGGTCAATAATCTATAGGGAAAATTTTTAAATATTATGAAATAACTTTTGTTGAATAAAGAAGAGTTTGAACCCGGCCAACATAAACGTCAAATAGTCACGAGTTATAGGATGAGGATGTTCTTCGTTAGAATTAGATAATAGAGCGATTTATTTGATTTTTAGTGTAGGACAAATTGTGTTTCTTTTTTTTAAAATCAAAGGGAAATCAGTTGGATGGATAGAAGATTTTTTATGATTCTTAAATTGACAATGATCCAAAAGCTAATTTCAATATTTTTCATAAAAATATGGACATTTTCGACAAAGCTTTTGAAAAATCAAAAACTATTTTCGATATTAAAAAATTGTTTTTGAATTTGTTTGGATAATTTTTTACAAGTACTTTGTCTGACTAAAAGAACTTTTAGAAGAAGTTAGTCTGAGATGACTTTTAAAAGAAGCTAACCTTCTGAAATAGGTTTATCAATAAACTATTCTACAAAAATAAAAACCCTACTAAACGAGCCTTAAGGACTCACAAAATAGGAGGAACATGCACAAGTCCTGTCAAACATGTCATAATACCCCAATTGCACAAGTTACAAGCTAATGTGGACAATTCTATCTAGAGCGAGCATTCACTCTACAGGAGACTAAGGAAGAAGGATGGATCTTGTCGATTCGGAGCGAAACCTTCTCGTGACCTTGACCATGACGATGCTAAAGGACACCATCGTCCAGCTCAGGAACTTCCTTCTGGTATGAAAGTCAGTGCTGAATGAGAGAATTGAAGAATCACCACCGATTTAGAAAGAAGATTCCAGATTCATGATACTACCTAAAAATAGATGTCAATTGGGCTAATACTGATGCAGCGGAAAAATTTTAAAAATACGATATTGATCCTGAAAATGCTGGAAGCTGAAAATTTATACTTGTTGATAAAACCGAATACCAATTACAATTTCCTTCTTCAAGACTAATCTAATAGTTTATTTTCAACCTGAAGCTAGTTCATTTCTTCATTTTCTCTGGTTCAGTCAATATTTACAAATAATCCCAAACAGGCTCTGTATCAGGAGGTAACATATTTTTCTTTTACGGGTACACAGCAGCTGCTTGATAACAGGATACAAGATGATGTCACTGCAGAAACGAACTAAAACCGGAAGATCAGGTCATGGAACATGGTTGCATCACCAAACAGCTTACAGCGTGGAAGCATCAAATATTTGGAATGTGAATGTGATGCGACTGAGGCAGTTGTCTTGGTAACTCGTTTTCCTCGGCTGAAGTAGGAATGGGGAGAATATGGGAGTCCTAGCAAGGAAAAAATTGGAAGATCAATTCAAAAAATGAATCCTTTATGCTAGAAATGGAGAAAAAATGAATATTTGCTGGTATACTAGAGAACAAGAGTATTATACATGGCAAAGAATCTGCGCTACGAATTTGGTAATGACGAGATGTGTTTCCTTTAAAACTGAACCAGTTCTAATCGTTGAACGAAAACATAACCCATGTCAAAGAGAACGATTGCAAGAATTCGGTGTCCTCTTGATTGGATATTGGTGTAAATGACTGCAAGACTAGCAAAAACTGAGGTTTATGAGGGACTCTAGGGAGGCATATACCAGAAACTGTTACATGAAACAATTAATTTTCTTATTTTTCGCACTTTAGCTATAACTATGATGTTTTCTTGAAATTCAATCCTGAATGTATCACAAGCTAAACCAATCTTTTTACTTGATCATATATAAATCAGCAAAAACAAGGCACTTTTTTCAACCAATACTCCTCAACAACCTCATGTTTAGTTTTGATCTACCCCTTTCCCTTAGTTATCCTCAATTGGTGCCATCTATGTATGTTGACGCATATCCTAATCAAAATGTGATACTAAAAGCTTCAGCAAAAGGGAAAGGATCAATTGCAAATCACAAAGGTATCAGATAGTTTACGATGTTGATAGAAATAAAGATCACTAATAAGCATAGTTACACTCATTTGAGTAAATATTTAATAATTGAACTACCTGGTGGTTGCCTCTGTTCAGAACACAAGTTAATGCTTTGACCATAATAAAGATCGGCAAAAGAATTCCGATTGTTCGCAAGATAAGTATCTGCAAGGGGAAATGGGTATGATCTTAGACACTTCCATTCTCAATACATTCTGTTAAAAAATAATAATAATAATTGTTAAGCAAATGGAAGAGTATTCATTGGTTAGGAAACTCACCATGAAGAGAGAAACTGAATATTCATCACTTCCATAAGTGAAGAATGGAAGAGTATGGCGTGATACCAGAAGAACCAAGAACTAGAGAAAGACAAGCACTGAGGTTATCTTAATGAATAAATATTATTGATTCACTAGCTAGCATGGAAAAAGGTAAAATTTATGCATCAGAAAAGAACTTAATGCCGATACACGCGATTTTTAGTGAAAATCATATTAGAAACGACATATCAAACGTGTCTGCTTGCACACATTAATATTAAATGGGAAAAAGAAGCAGCCATGGAGGGAGGGAGGGAGGGAGAGAGAGAGAGTACAATCATGGCAACCATGCGGCAACACGTCATGCTTCTTGTATTTGGAACACGATACCCGACGGAGTTTGGATCCAGAAAATTGCCACCAGCAGGAACCATTGTTATGAATTGAGGATTGTCAATTCGGGATATCTCCCAATTTCCCCTGAGATATTACCGCATTGGACTTGTGAATACTAATTAACAGTTAAAACAGCTAATTCAACCAAAAAAAAATATTGAAAAGATAAAATTTGATATAGGAATAGCTGCAAATCAGAAAAGTCTAAATATCCATATATGCATGTAAAAGAAGCAAAAGAAATACCTAAAATTCATCGGAATACCACCGTAATAAAACAGAGGAGGTGGAGCTGTATAACCTGGCTTGAATTGCTGCAACCTCACATGCAATGAAAAACAAAGATAAACAAAATTTTCTTCAATAAGAGGGAAAAAAAAAGGATCGAAATGAGCTTGCCAATACTAAAAGCTGGAAGCCAATAGAAAATTCTATTGTTTCTGAAAAAAAAAAAATGAGTTGGAATATCATAAATGTGATTACACTATGTTTAAAGGTAAACTACGGCCACAGAACTAAAAGTAGAAATGTTCCATAATTTAAGCTCATTTTTCACAAATCAAACTTAAGAGGTCTCAGTTTTTTTTCATAAAATGCCGCCAGAATACTAAAAACATACCTGAAGGCAAATCTCGCAAATGGTATCGCCCTTTTCATTGCACCACCTTTGCACACACTCGCGGTGAGCATACTGCATGTATAAAAGAAACCCACAGTGTTACCCTTAAACCAAGTGAAATCACTTGGAGAACCATCACTTCCAAAAAAGGAGAGCTAGAAAGGAACATTAGAAAGTCAGTAAATTACATGTCCCCAGAAAACTGGTAAAAGAGCAAAAGTGACTCAGCTGTAAATTATTCAAAATTTTATTGCAGAATAAGTTTACATTGAAACTTGAAAGTATTGGACATTCATTACACGCAAGGGTGGTATGTTGTCATAAAGTTTTGTCAAGTCCAACAATATAGATAAACAGAGATTAAAATCACATATTTACAAGAAAATTACGCATCCAATAATTGGTTTCAAAAAATGTAATGCCAACAGAACCACACAACTCTTTCTAAGAAAATTTTGACTCCCAACTACAATTGAAATTAACAAAGACTATGATTTTTTAGAAGATTAAAATGGAGTAATCAACAATTTGAACACAGAGTACATGCGCTAACTTTCATTAGGTGTTGATAACATGTTATATTGCTCAGTATCAGAAGACTAACCTTCAAGCTCCCACGACAGGAACAAGGTACCTCCATGGTCGAGGCTTCATCCTCATCTTTGCAAATCTTGCATTCTGCTAATTTCCTCGGTGACGATCCTGCTTCAATATCCATCCTATGGAAAGAAAAGTTACTGGTCATATCTTGAGAAATCAATGGTGACGCATGCTGCAACAGGTTTTTACTCTGGATAGCAGCTTCGAGAGTGGATTCAGTGAGAAATCTATCCTCCAATATCATAAAATGATCACACATCCTCGAAACTAGATAAACAGTTTCTTTTGGAATCTTTTTAGTCTTATAGTTAAGATGAAGAACATACACAGCAGGCCAATATCTTGTGCAATTACGACCAAATAGCAAATCGAACAAATTCACCTGAAATCAGATTTTCCACAAGGTGATAATGAGCAAAAACCAACAAACATGAGGATTAGAACAAAATGGAATCTGCAAGTAACTGAAGGTAGAGCTCTTCCGAGAAAAGTGAAATTTTGGTAATAAAGAAGACAACTTTACAAAATGGAGCTACCTAGCATGCTCTTGCAATGAAAGCAAATGATTAAGAACACCAACTTTATCAGGACAGGCAGCGCTGCAGCAGTCTAAAAGCAACACTTATATTAAATCCACGCAGTCCACTGCAGTAAAATAACGGTGGAGATATAGAATTTCCCAATGACAAAATGAAGAAAAATAAAAATCAAATTCAAGTCCTTATCTTAAAATCAGACACAATTGAATAAATAAAGCAACTCTAAGAACATCAAAAGAAACTACCCAAAGAGACAGAGAAAAAAAAACCATCGATAGTATTGGCAAATTGAGTAAATACCCACTTGAAGATATTAACAGGTAGCAGAAAGTGGGAAATGTTTCGCACATTGAAGACGTTTATAACGTTAAAAAGGCGCCTTTTCTGACCAAACTGAATAATACCACAATATAATTTTTAAAACACATTAACATGAAATGAAGTTTAAAGAATGAACGGAATATGAGAAGGAAAACTTACAAGAAACGGACTGGGATTTCTTCTTGTTGTTCATCATTCTTTTCTTGACTTGTATATCATGATTCTCAGTGTTTACATTATCATTATTATATATGATATTTTGTTAAGGTTTTCAGTTTTGTTTTCTTTTGGGCTTTGCTTTTTCTTGGGATTTGAAGTTGAGTGTTGTCACCATTTTTATGATTTACATTTCCCATAGTACATACGCACACATATTCTCTTTTTCACACACGCACATCTTTGTGCGTCGGCAATCCCTATGCTCCCACTTTCTCCACCCAAAAAGTGGGGATGGAGAGAGATTGATTCGGCTTCGTCACGATTTCTTTCGCTTTCAGCTCCCAGCAAGGGTGCTGAATTTTGCCATTTGTACAACACGTTTTTTAAATCATGGTTGACATCATCTATATTGTTAAGAATTGATCGGATGAAAATATTATTTTATTTTTAGAATGGCACGTTAGAAAATATGAAAAATGGTATAAGATATGATATACACCCAACATAACTCTAAGAGAGTAATGTTATTTGTAGTAGTTTATTGTCGCAATCTAGCATATATGTGGCAATTAGTGATTTGACACATTAATGCATTAATTTTTTTTATTGCCTTTGCATCAAATAACTAGTCGACATATGTATGTCACGTAGAATGATTGCGATAATGAGCGATTGTAAATATCATTATTCATTCTAAAGTGTTAGAAATAAAACGTTATTATCAAGAGTATTGCACGACTTAACAACATGTTTGGCTAATGTTCAAGAAAAGTGAAATTAAAATTCGAATTTTGTTTGAATAATTTACATATTCTTGATTTTATTCTAAAATTAAATAATGATGCAGTGGGGAAGGGCAATATATCGTCGAACACTATCAAAATTCTAATTAGAAAATCGATGATTGATCAATTAAGACTAATTAATTCATAGGTTAATGACTTTTTTACAAGTCCTTTAAATTTTTAAAATTTTTGAACTTTTCCTTTATTCCATAAAAATAAGTTTGGTTTCCTTTTTCATGTCTCAAATTATAGATCACTTTTCTTGTTGATGGTAAATTTGATTTCTTAGTTTTCTCCCTACATAATAAGTCTTAATATCAACAAATATGAAATGCTCATATATAAACAATTATTTAATGTATGAGTATATTAGAAAAAATATAAAAAAAAATATATTTCCAGTTATATTAATTTCATTTTCTTAATCTGTATGAAAATGGAAACAAACTCGTCTTTGTGAGATGGATGAATAGTAATTTAACATGTACGAAGGTCTCCCTTGAACTTCAATGATCCGAAACATTTCCATCCTCTTCTTTTTCTTTT